CCAATCTCCCCCTTCTCCATCCAATGATAGTCTTTCACGGACACTCGGAATCCAAGGGAGTCTCGACGGCCCCTGAAACTTGCCCCACTGTAACCAGCCAACATGTAATCAGGTAACAAATAATATGACTGGGGGCTATTTTCAGAGATACCTGACTATGGAACCTGCTGTTCCAAAAATGGGCTGTTGATTTGACTTGTCATGGCGACCACTTGGTATGTAGGGATGGCGTTACACCAGCACAGATTTTCATTCCTCGTTATTATGTATACATTTTTAGACGTGACTCTCACAGTTCGGGGTTTCCTACAATGTATGATCCATGGATGGTACGTACGCTTATCATTTTGCTTATGTGGCGAGTCAGTGGCTCTAATTTCAAATGGAATATGTGACCAGTATTAACCCATCGAAACTTCGAAACTATTCTAATTTGAACCAAATGATAGTTTACATTCCGTACATATATGTACTCTGTACCTATTATTTTCTTACATATGATTCGCCGGTCAAATAAAATTAGATATCAACTTGAGCTCAGACCCATGGACCATTGGTCATCGACGTGTTCTCTTGCCCTGTTCCATGGCTCCCAAGCGACAAGAACCACATCTTTGTTTCTCACACTCTCTAGGGCTCCCAGATGCTCTTGATATTCCATATATTCCATTTATATTTTACATAAATTATTATTTAAACTCCACGATCTTCAGTTCTTATTGCTCCTTTCATCGTAGTCTTCATCTCACTTTTTACACTGTTTTAGTGTTTTACTGTATTAGCGGCTGATTTGCCACCACATTACAAGTGTCTCAAATGTAGTCGATCAGTTCCAAGTGTATTACATTTGACTTTCCACTCCCGCTGGCAAGCTCTCCATACATGTACCTGTACGGAAGTACACCGTAGTGGATTGTATCGCACAGTGGACACCGTACCACGAGAAAACCTGAAAGTGCGGTCCTTCGTGGGCTAGTTTGGCCTTCCACACCCGCAAGCTGAACTCGCTAAATAACCTTTGAAAACTCAATCGTGATGGTCTATATTTATCCTTATCTCTAGGCTCTATATACTTGAGGTGAGTATCCAAACCTTCGCCTCGCATATTTATATATTCTTATAGACATTATCAATTACACCATATCAACTCTGACTACAGATTAAATATTCAAGACAACTTGAACTGTGCATAGAGGTATCTGAATACACCAGCTGATACCGTGTATGTACATACAGAGCTAGTAACTCGGTATTCGAAAATGATCTCCACCGTTAGACGCAATTTCATCTTGTCCACACACACACTAAGTGGATCACCGATTGCATTTTCTTAATTCTTTCAGAGAGCCTCGACCGAGAGGCCTGCCTACAACATTGTCGATATAGAGTAATGAAGTCACCAGGACAAAAGACAGTGCTTATCGGGTATGCCGTGGCACCTTGTAGCCGTTACAATATATACTTGCATCGCGGACTGCAGCATTATGGGTTTGCAACAGAGTACTTGTATCTTGTACACCCTGATACCGGCGGATGCAGGATTGCGCAGGAACGACACATCAGCTGCATAAAGGAAACCGATCTTCGACATCTGATCTTCGTTTTCCCTTGTGGATTTTCAATGGCTATCCACCTTACTCCATACTGGGGCTTTTATTAGCATTATCATCGGTTGCACGCTGGCATCCTACTTTCTAAGAGGCTGGTAGCGATCGTATATTGTACTATGTAATGCAATGTACCAAAAATAACCTGTCGACGGAGAGATTGGTCTTAAAGGGCCTAGTCAGCGATCACTAGCCGGCAGGCGTGCCCTAGTGTCGCACATTTATTGTACTAATTGCTGTGTATTGACCCGCCACCTTTTAATACTTCGTACACTAGCACAACAGCCGTGAAATGTGGCTAAATATTAAACAAATGGTCATAATTATTTATGACGATTGCATACCCCTTCTATATCTTAGAAAATGGCTTGCACGGGAGTCACTGGGGCCGATGGCTGGCATTAGTGTTTCTAGAACCCCGTACGAGCTCTGACATGATTATTTTTGGTTCTAGCCCCTGAATCGGGCGTTTTACATCCAGCGTTGGCACCGGCTCCCCGCGGAAGGATTTCGATCCCCAGCTCGCTATTGATTATCAAGCTGCGCCTACCGCATACTCCGTACGGAGTACTGATTATCAACCTGCATTTACTGATTACATATGTATAGGGGTTGGGTTCGGGATCGCAAGACCTTGAGCTCTGATTCAATTTAAGTAATGAGGGGGCTGTGGCCCCAGGCCCCCTCCACCGTATACGGTGTATCTGCGTTATGAATAGGAGCCAATCACAACCTCTGTTTTGAGGTTGTACAATATACGGAGTAGCTGTGTCCATATACAACATACAACATACTCCGTACTCAGGGTATTGAAAGGGCTTGAGTGGTGATATGTCGATAGTGTCATAAAATTTTCTACTCGAAAGGGCTTGCTACACTACATGATTTATACAACATACGGGGTAATGTAATGAGTACTCCATACCTATATACGTATTATCATAGCCAATTGAAGACCACGGATTCAAATTTTATAGTAACATACCACATATTTTCCCCTCCCTCTAGCAGACATTGCGTATGCACTTCCCGCGATAATCCAAACAAGACCAATCGGCCGCCTATGTGGCCTTGTCATGTTTTTTTGATGGTCTTCTTAGTTCTCTCGTTAACGATATGTTTCGCCTTTTCTTGGGGTTTGTACTTGTATGTACGGAGTAGACTGCAAAAAAAAAAAAAAAAGGCGAAATGTTTAAAATGTACAGACCACTTCAATATATAACCTTCGACTTACACCGGCAGAGCTTGGTGACGGTCTTATGGAAAGCCTCAACGCCCTCCAAACGGCGAACTTCCCTTACCGAGCTGAGATATTCTTCAAACCATATTTGTCTAGAATGCCGGTCATCTTTAAGACTACTGAGAACCCTTAGGCCACAGATCACTATACACACCTTAAGTCTCGCTGATGGCATGGAACTGCTTCGAAGGCCTCCATTGCGGCATACTGTGAGCCTCCTTTCTCGGCGACTCAGTGGAGTCTTAGCTCGACGCATCTATTACACACCGTTTTCGAGGGACATACCACTAGAATATTGGGGAGTAGTTGATCCAATATTCAGGAAGCAAGTCTTGAGGAGACTTTGGAAGACTAAAGCGTGAAGTACACAGTCTACGAGCACAAATAAGCAAGTCCAGTCTCAACCTTGAGAGATAACTTACTTGGGAACGGCCCAATAAACATTCGCGCGTCTCTAGGATGTCCGCAGTATTATATATATTACTTAAAAGGTCTGGGAACAGCTCATATTGAAGATATTCAGCTACAGTTAGCCCCTATATATCTACGACTAAAAGAGAGTTGAAAAGAGGTCTCAAAGACCCGCAAACTGATAGAAGACACATAAAAAGACTTGACTCCGGTTGATCACTTCCATACTTCCTCCTCTATATAGAGACGTAGACGTAGAATACATGCAAAGATCTCTTTATTATATACGGAGTACGGGGAGTGCTCATGTCAGATTCCAGATTTGTACGAGCAAAGCAGGCAATCTCCACTATTTGCTAGGGAGGCAAGGGGGATGTCGATCTTCATCGGCATCGCGATGGAATGGCCCTGATCCTGATCCACATCCCTCTGCCAAATGTCGATCTATGCAGAATCCAACCTTTACTGTAAAGCAAGCGGTATAATGTAGCTGCTCTATTTGGGATCAGCATGCTTCGGAAACTCATCCATTCCTAGTGAGGCTGTAACTCGCCGGGAACATTATCTGCAGCAAGGAGCTCCAACCTGACAGTGCATAATTATGCATAATCCTCACATTAAATAGTGTCTGATCTTTGCGTATTATTTGTGCTGGTTATGATAACAGCTGCAGTTGGCTTGGCTTCCCCAATACCATTGTTCGGTCGGCAGTTTCGGCTCTGAAACCTGACATGTATAGAAAGTAGTTTGCGCTCCCTGCATGATATTGGATATCAGATATATTTTATCAAATAAACTCGTAGTTTGTGTTGGTTTTTGGTTTGTTGATGTATATATGTCGTTAGAATTGCACCCGATATATAACCACAGCCCAACAACAGGTATGTTATTTTTGCGTGTCTTGTAACAATAAGTTTTTTGTTATTTTTTAAAAGCAGTTGCACATATAAACACATATAAATCATTAGGATAAGGAATAATATTAAGTTGAAAACAACTTATTAAGGATGTTGGAGCCTTGGAGTGCTGTGGGTGACACAATTGACCACTACACTAATACCAAATTAACGAATCAACACAATGCATCCCCTACAGTAGGCCTGCCACACTCATGCATAATATAATCCCCGAATGTTTTTAACCTGGGCCTCATTTGGGCAGCCCTGGAGGATTCAGCTTCCAGCTTAACCTTCGAACCCCGGGAATTCCCGACATGGGGAGGTCCATGGGCTGCTATGATAATGTTTATTTTCTTCGACTCAGTGCTGGTTCATAATACAAATAGTGAACCTCTCACAATTACAAATTGCAAGCCTAGATATTCACGTGCGATTGACGCGCGATTAACGCGTGATCGACGTGACACATTTAGTTGTGGGCTGCTCACGTTGCCGTGCCAACGAATCCGTTGACAGCTCAACAGCCGGAGCAACATGGGACCAACCTTAAAAGAACAACGAAAATCCCCGGGCCTCCAGTAACAGCCTGGTCAGCAAAAACACAGCGTTTTATCAAATTTAGAGGGATCGTTATCATCACCACTGGCGCCCACAAGGTCTCATTGACGGATCAAAAATTGCTATTAGAACAACATTGCCACCATGGCAAGGGTCAACACAGCCAACCCCCTGGTTAAAAATACCCCCCACAAGGAGACGGTCGCGCGTACTATAGGGACTTCCCGCAACAATCCACTGTCCAGAGAGTCATTTCTCAATTTCAGGAACACAGCCAAGCACAACATGCCCATAAAGCCGCAAAGCCAATCGCAACGGCAAGCAAATGGCTCAAGTGGATCATTTGATATATTCCCAGACAGCGATTCGGCATCAGAAAGTGAATGTCAACAGCACAGGTCTGCTGGAAAGCAACGAAAGCAAAGAACACTAGGACTCGCACGTGTGAACTCGTTACTCCTACCCGCAAAGCGGAGACCACGTCCAGCCATCCGAAGGGAGACCGAAGATTATGATAAGGAGAATGATGTGCCAGAATATGCCACAGACGGATACCGAACTCCTGATTTAACACCAACAAGGCCGAACGCCTCACAGCCTCCAACAAGAAGTAGGATGGATCATATTGCCGTGACACAGCCAGTGATTGACCACCAAGAAGAAGAAGAGGAATCAGAAATCAGGTTTGAAGAAGAAGATAGCTCTGACTCACTAGATGGGTTCATTGTCAGCGACAATGAGGAGCTTAGCTCTTTTGAGACATCAGATTCTGAGACACTTGACACAGAAGATGAACCTAGCCCGGCTCCGTCACCGGTTAGGTCGCCAAGAAAAAGACTTGTGCGTGGAAGAAGGCCAATACCAGAGGCGGAATCAAACACTACTGCAGATGAGGAGCGATCAATGGAAGTGACGAAATTGGCGACAGAGCTGAACCGACCAATTGAGAAATCAAAAATGGCGGTCATCCCAGCACCTGAAGACTGCATACCAAGTCCTCCGACCAGTTTAAAATCCACATCCCCTGTTCGAAAGGTGGAGATACCCAAGCTACAGGTTGATTCAAGCTATCCTCTTCACTTCGGCCTCCACAACACCAACGACCTCATCCAACACCTTGAGGATCTTGAACTGGACAGCGACAATGAGTCTACATTCCAAAGAAACCCAGAGCAGTTCAAGTAAGCTCTACACTGGGCATTCATGTGCACTTATTGGCCGACATCAATCATCTGTACTAACTACGTCTCACAGCTCAGAACCAGAGAATGAACTACCATCAAAACTATACCCAAGCCACAAACACCTACCACCAGTGACACCGTCGCGTGAAAACTCTCACTTTTCTCTCAATCGCTCTATCACATCAGTTGATAGCTCGCCCGGAATGGCTATTCCCACCACCCTAAAGGCCAAAAAAAAGGCAGAGGCGGCGCGGAAACGCGAGATTCGAGCTCAACTGGCTGAATTCAACCAAAGAAAGATCGGCTTTGCCGAAGAGTTCCTCCGGCATCTTGACAATGCCTTTGATAGCCAGATTTCTCGCATGACTGAGGAAACCGGCGGCATCAAGATCATCTGGACGAAGAATTTCAGAAACACTGCCGGCCGAGCAACCGTACGTTCGGAAAGGGTTCTTAGAGGAGAAGCCGGCGTAGAAGAACCTGGGAAACGGCGTTACTATGCCACCATTGAGCTCTCCGAGAAAGTCCTTGACAGCGAAGACAAGATCCTCTGCACTATGACACATGAGTTCTGCCACCTCCTCGACATGATGGTCACTGAAAACAGGGCCAAGGGTACGGCCCAGCACGGTGCCAGCTTCAAGCAATGGGGCGACCGATGCGTCCGCGCACTGGAAGGCCACCCTATCTACGGAGGCCGGGTTGAGGTCACGACCAAACATACCTATGAGATCAACCATAAGTACATCTGGGCCTGCAAGGTCCAGAACTGTGATTTCAAGGTCGGGCGACACTCGAAGAGCGTTGACCCAAAGCGTCAGTTCTGCGGCCTGTGTAGGGGCGTCCTTGAGCAGATCAAGCCGGTGCCGAGGGTTATGGTACCGAGAGCTGTGGGGCCGAGGAGGCCTGCTGTCAAGGAGATGGTTGTAGGTGAGGAGAAGGAGATTGTGGTCATTGATCCTTGATATCTAATGGACCGGTTCTGCTTGTAAATATTTGAGTATGACCAGTGGGGTTACCAATGAGCACAATATAACGAACATATGAATGTCTGCCAATTGAATTGCCTGAGTTAGTACATATATACAAGTAGGCGCTTCTTGCCATAAAAGCAGAGCCAAGACGATGTGCCCAGAAAACATTCAAACAAATTGGACCTGTTGGTCCCACCAGTCTACACTGATTTCAAATCAATTGCCATATTTATCAATTCCTCCTGTATCCAAACACGCTAGGGTAGAGACATATCGAACCTGAAAGATTTAACGATGAATGAACATCAATTCTTCACACCAGCAACTACATTTGTTTTAACCTCCACGGGTGGCACGGGGCCTAGGTCGGCACTGATGAAGCTTACGCTGTCGACCAATTAGATTGAGCCAGGTTTCCAAGGGTGTCTGCTTTGGGCTTAGTCTCCGCAAAGCTTATATGATATCCATAGTATTAAAACGTTGGATGCGAGGGCAAGTCGGAATGTTGGAGGCTATAAATGGAAATGGCTTTTGGATATAAGAAAGTCCTGATCATCGGCGCCACCTCCGGTATTAGAAAAACACTCGCCAACAGAATTGTTTAAAATAAATTGAAGCTAATTGTCGCGACCCTAGAATGTCCATAACTGTTGAGAAAAAGACTAACGGATGTAACACTAGTCCTGAAACCCACATTAAGAAGTCATTGACAGTTCTAATCAAAGGCCCTATGTGAATCACGGCGTTTGATGAAATTTTGTTATTTGACCCCCCTTCCGTTTGACTTACGCCTCTTCTTTGTCTGTAGGATCCTGTCCATACCTTTTTGAGACTTACGTTATGACAATGAAGCAGTTTAGTATACATATATATCTTCTCTCCTTTCTCTCTTTCTCTCCTCCCTCTCTTCTAGTGGTTATAATCTAACAATTCATTCTTCGGCTTTTACTTTCTAGGCTTACGATACCTTTTTCTCCAAGAGTTCTAGGAAGACCCTTTCCATACTAAAATATGGCATTTTCCCTCTTCCACTTCAGTAATAAGGTGATTAAAGATCATATGTTTTTACTCTGATGGTAAAAAAAGGTTTGTATGGGAAGGGTCTTCCTAGAACTCTTAGAGAAAAAGGTATTGTAAGCCGGACTGAGGGATTGAGGAACCGCGACTGTGGCTGCGTTGCGTTATAGGCACCGGGGTGCTAGGGTGTCCTACCGCGACGGTCACCGACCTTTCTTTTATATTTTTCTTATATTTTTTTTATATTTTGAATATCCTCTACTACTCGCAGTTGACGGTAGCATATGCTGTCAATTTGAAGTTCTCTTGCTTCGAGATCTTTATAGCCTCGATCCAGTTGCTTTTCAATACTCTAGCCAAATGGCTAAGAAGAGGAGATAAGGTCTTTACAGTTTAAATCGAGGCGCAATCCCCAATCGCAGAAAGCACAATCTCGATGAAATCGTCCAGCAATTTCGCAGCGACAAGCCCTCTGCAAAGTCATTTGACGTCATGTAGCTGGAGTAGGTAAGGTAACCCATACTAAGCGAGATATGTCCCTAACTAACGTCGATCGAAAACATAGACCCCAAAGTTTGCCTCAGAGATCATCTCCAAGAACCCCGACCTGGATTGTATCTTCGTTAACTCGAGTATCCAACGACCCTTCGATTTCTCTAAGCCGGAAACTGTCGATCTGGATATCCTCGACCAAGAATTGATCACAAACTATATATCCACGGTCCGCATAACAAAAAGCATTCCTCCCACACTCGCAGAGCCAGAAGACTGCAATAGTCATCGCATTCTCAACGTCGCAAATGGTTCTTGTGCCCATGATGCGATGCCCAAATTATGGCGCTTCCAAGGCTTCTCTGCACCATTTCGTCATTGCCCTCCGCACTCAGCATGGAATTTGATTGGGATGCCGTTACGGGAATTTGTTGATGAGGGTTGAGATAGGGTCTCAGAGGGCGGGGGTCAAATTCATATGGGGTCTGCGAGGGATATTTACAATGCGTTCGAGGTCAAAAGGCAGGAGTTTTATCGGGACATGACGGAGTTGCTTTCTGGATTATTGAAGCAGTTTTTGAGGTAGAGCTGGAGCTTTGAGATTTTAGATTTACATAAAGGTTAGACTTGATAATAAAATGGGATTTACGTTATGCCATCTTCATTCTCAGCTGTCAATATGAGAGTTCATAGGTAGGGATAAAATCGAGCAAACAGCTTGCCCTTTACAAGCCGCCAGTATCAATCCACTGAGAAAAGAAACATCATGACCACGACCCGCAGCCAATCCATCCGACCACTCATGCAATAAAAACATGGAACCCTTGGAATCGAAGAGCGCATCTCGCCGCGCTATCTCAGAATTCTCATCCCACAAATTCGTCCGTAAATCAAACGGCAAAGAGTCTACAAATGGTGTCTGAACTGAAAGTTCCTCGTATACAACGAGTAAGCACTGCGCAACATGAAACAGACAATCATCAATCGAACACTTTCCGCAAGAAGCTAATCATATCTAGGAGTTGAGGACTGAGGGCTCGCGGAAGTTGAATAGGCGCCTGTTGCCACAGTTTCCCAGCGACTCCTATCAGCATAACATTAATCGCCTCCGTATATAGACCTATATTGCCGTTTTTATTGAGAACTAATATACATTGGATTTCATAGACGACGGCAACGACGACGATGGCCTGGATGATGAGCACTACGCTAGTGAAAGCTCTGTTTTATTCCGTCAAATAGAAAGAGCAAGACAGGCGATCATTCGACGTGTACATAGACACCCCAACTGTACAAATATACTCGATGTAACGCATCACGCAAGTTTGTCCCCGAAGAAGTGCGGCCTAAGTTTGCGATGATCTTGAGATTATTCCTATTCGGGGCTTCCTGACACGGCCACTCCCCTCTCCTCCCCTGCCCCCCTGCGTGCCCCGAAGTCCATTCCAATCTAGTACTTATGCCTGTCACTTAAATCTTCGTAGTAAGCCCCCATCCAGAAAGACGCACGCGCAGAGCAGCAAGCCCGATGGTACCCAGAAAAAGGCTCACGCCTGAGAAGACACACGTATAGGTGTAGATGCCCCCATTGGCGGCGGCAATCGCGCCCCCAATAGGTGGACTGGTCAAGGTTCCCACCGCAGCAAAGGCCAAGACAGTACCCATCCGATAACCCAACTCGTTCATTGGCGAGATGGAGACAATTAGGACAGGTCCCAGGCCAATAATCGCACCTGAGGTGATGCCAAACAAGGCCGCAAAGGAAATGAGCGCGCCATTGCCTCGGGCAGGAAGCCACAATGCCAATACTAGTATAGCCGATAACGTGGTCATGATGAGCATCACATTGAAGCGACCAACCTTGTCGGCGATATAGTTGGGCACGGTACGACCGAAGAAACTGGCGCCATTGAGAATCGGAACTAACGACAACGCCATCTGCGACGACATGCCGTAGTGGGTGGCTTCGACAACGATATAATCAAAGGGAACGAATAGTCCCCCTGAAAGAAACGACTCGTTAGTTATGCAACGTTTATTCCCTCGGTATGGATGTGCTGTACTCACAGTACATCAAAAAACTGGCCGTACACAGGATGCCAAAGTTAACCTCCCGCAACGGTCCGAGATAGTGCACTACAGAAAACGGACGTGGTGCATGTGACAAATTGGATGAAATAGCGACATTAGCGATGATTAGCAGGCCCAGGATCATGAAGGCGCAGATCCGCATCGTCCAGCCAAAGCCCACCTGCGGTAGTAGATGCTGGACCATCAACGGAAAAATGACGCCGCCCAACGACGATCCTGCCACTGTTAAACCCCCAACAACCCCCCGCTTCTGCCGGAACCAAGTCTGGGGCTGCAGTTTTCTGATGAGGGGGCTTTTCATTTTCAGCGGGGATTGTTTTGAAACTTACTGCTGTCATCGCCGGGGTGAAGATCAACGAAGAACCAATTCCAGACACCACAGACTGGCTTAGCATGAGCTGATAATACTTAGAGGAGAGACTGGCCATCATCAGCCCAAAGACATGCAAGACCGATCCGATCGCAATAGGCACGCGCGGACCATAGCTATCGAACAGCTTGCCCGCCACGGGGGAAGTGAAAAGCATGAAGAAAACTAGGGTTGTCAGCTCGTCGAGAGGAGAGTGAAAACGTGTTATTCAGTACATACATTCCATGGACGTGATCCAAGATACATCCGAGCTCGAGTAGTCCTTCAACTGGTTCGTTTCGTACTCAGCCTGGAAGAGTCCAATGCAGTTGACCCAGCCAAATGAGACAAACAGAGCAACCGATGCACCTGCGACTGTCATCCATGCTTGGAGGCCGCCTTCGGGAACACTTGGGGATGCGGCTTTGGGGGCCTCTGCTACAGGCTCCTCGGGCCCCTTCTCCAGACGATCATCCGACATATTGGTGGGTAATGGGGGCGAGATAAATAAGAACGCGACTGCTCATATGAGCTACATCTGCAGTAATGGAATTCCACGACTCCTTTTATAGAGAGCCTATTCGGGTGACCTACGCCGATGATTCTCGGCCATTTCACCGGAGTTTAGGCTTTCCGGAGTTAAAATTGGAATGTGATGATAAAGTTCGGCCCGAGCCTGACGGTGTTTTGGCATCCTTGCCCCTCTACTTTCTCAATCGCCTATACCTAGTAGTAGTGATGGTGTAGGATTAGGATCATCTCTCACTGACCATGTCTCCACCGCGAAAACGCCGCCGGCCACCCAAGTCATGTGATCCGTGTCGTCGTCGCAAAGTCCGTTGTGACCGGGAATTCCCTTGTGGCCCATGTGAGCGTGCGAGAACTTCGCTGCAGTGCTGCTACCGCCCCGTAGTTGCTGCTAGTAGCCCGTCTGGTGGTGGATTCTCCCAGTTCACGGCTCCTTCCGTGCTGGAGGGACAAACGCCTCCTTCCCAAGCCGTTGACCCGCAGACACAGAGCCATCCACCTGCATCCACGTCGCAATCGCAGCTTCAGGACCAAGATAAAGATCAGAACAAGATCATCCAGGATCTACAACGCCGTCTTCGGCGTTTGGAAGAACAGCTTCCCGGCCCTCCGCCCTCTCAAACCACGACCGATCCTAATCCCACCGTCTCTCAGACTCAGGCTCTGCGACACCTTCAAGACCGGGTCCTCAGGGCTGAAGAACAGCTGTCTGATGCAGCTCGTCCTAGTCTTTTGGTCAATGGATGGGCCATTCCGGCCACCCCGCCTCGTCTTCGTGTAGCCCCCGACAAGACGAAGCTGTTTGGCCCCAGTCACTGGCTGCATACCGCCGAGAAGGTATGGCGTATCAGACTTACTTCCCCCAACCTACAAAAGCCTTGTCCCTGACTAATATTCAATCCCCAGTTTCAAGTCCTTGGCAAATTCGATGCCAAAGAAGTAGAACCCTCGCTGCGGGATGTAGATGCTAGATCGGAGTTCGCCAGCATCTTCAAGGACTGTCGGCATCTCCGACAGGCCATGAAGGCCCAAGAGTCGGTTCGACTCAACCATCCGGTTCCAGACTTGCTGAGCACGCTCCCGACCCAAGCAGTGTGCGATGTTCTGGTCGATGCTTATCTCCGCACCTTCGAGCTCATTTACCGGGTTATTCATATCCCATCCTTCTGGGAAGAGTATCGTCAGTTGTGGGCCCAGCCGCAGTCGACTTCGACCCATTTCCTGATGAAGCTGGTCTTGATCCTCGCCCTGGGTACCACATTCCACTCAGATTCAGATCAAAGCAATAGAGTGCATCTCCGCCGTCTCGCACATACATGGATCTATGCCGCACAATGGTGGCTAGTCGGACCATCGGAAAAGTCTACCATCAATCTGGATGGTCTGCAAGTCGGCTGTCTCTTATTGCTGGCCCGCCAGACGAACAACCTTCCAGGCACGAGCTGGGTCTCCGCGGGGTCCGTGCTGCGTATGGCCATGGCGATGGGACTGCATCGCACTCCCGGCCTCTTTCCCGCGCTGTCCGTGTACCAGTCCGAAATGCGATGCCGACTCTGGGCAACGGTCCTGGAACTGACGTTACTGTCGTCGCTGGATGCCGCCATGCCCTTACCGTTCTCACCACAGGACATTGACTGCACGGCGCCGTCGAATCTAGACGACGAGCAGTTCAACCCAGAGACTGAGACACTTCCCACCCCACAGTCGAATCAGTATCTTACCGACTCGTCCATTCAGGTTCTGCTGCTCAAGTCTCTTCCCATGCGAGTGGAAGCGGTTCAGCTTGTGAACAACCAGCACCGGCAGGAACTCTCATACGAAACCGCATTGAGACTGGGAAATGAATTGCGCTCGGCGTGCCACGATATTGCCGCCTTGTTCCACCCCAGTCAGAATCAGTCGAGGCATGCGGACCGCACCCCGGGCATGACCAAATTTCATCTTCGGTTTCTCGACACGTACCTACGTCGATATATCTTGTTCCTGCATCGCCCATTCATGATCCAGGCCCGTGAAGATCCACGATTCTACCTGTCCCGGAAGGTGTGTCTGGAGTCCTGCATCGTGGTTGCATCGTATGCCGATGATCTCAATCTACCGTCAGACACATTGGATGACCTCTCTCATCTGACCATTGTAGGTAGAGGCTCCTTTAAAGGAGCCTTAAGTTTCGATGTGATTACCTCCCTGGGGCTGGAAATTGACACCCAACTCGAGGAGGAGGCTTCTACGCGGTCGTTGGGATCTTCGCCCCCATTTGTCACCGATTACCTGGATGAAATGGCCAAGGACCACCGAGCACCCTTGATCCGGAGCCTAGAACACATCCAGGAGCAGCTGTTGCAGATTATCGCTCTCGGAAATCCGAGTCTGAAGCGATACAACTTCCTGTCCGCCATTTTGAGCCAGATCCGTGCAATGGAGTCGGGCCAACCGATCCAACCCGCCATTTACGAGAGCGTCAAAGAAAGCCTAAAGAAATGCTATCTCTTGCTGCAAGCCTCCCACGCAGCCAGTTCGCCGCAGGAATCGGTTGAGTCGCTGACTATGGGGACAGAGAGTTCTCTAGGTTTTGATGTGGATGCTTTAGTAAGTGTTTATTCCCCTTTTTTTTGTTTTTTCCTAGTCTTCCTCCTACTCCTCATTTTACGTACTTGCCATCCGACTTACAGTTTAGGACCCTGCCTTGGGACTGGAAATTCCCAGCTTATTGTTCTTCCCGGACATGATGGATATGTCGAGCATCGAGTGGTAAGGCATAGACGCAAACAAACAATAATTCACCACCGAGCTGGCCCCCCTTATCGGCCAGTTAGTTTTAGATGTATTTATATTAACCACAACGCTATTAAATCAATTCAACTAGCTGATTCCTATATCTGGGAATGTCGTGAATCGGGTCCGCCTTTGCTTCTACTTCTCGTTAGCGGCATATAATTCAAAAGGCGGCGGATTAGTTATGTAGTGATTTAGTAGGCTTCTAAAAACCTAGGTTATCGCAGGATTCAGCGGGCACGGGGGGCTTTTTAATCTCATACGAAGTAATGGTTTAATTAATGAAGCTTACTTTCATACATATGTAGTCTTCAGCTCCTAATCGCTACTCCGGCTCGGTGTAGATTGAAATACATACTCCGTACGGAGTACATATGAATGCGTCCTGATTTAAAATTTTGTAATGGGCGTATCCGGTTTAACCGGAAATTACGTTAATTGCGTTAATGGCCTGACCATGAGATGCAGACCATAAAACATCCAGGGATGAATAGAACCCGGCCTCGGTGGGAAGTTCGGTGTTCGGTGTTGGATCTTATCCCCGATGCTACTAAACACGCCGTAGCCGCCAATTTCCTACAATTCAGTCTCAAGCATTATCCATCTTAATCACATCTCTCACCAATATTCTTACACAATATGGGCTCTGTTGCACTGCGTCGTTATCGCTCCTGTCAGCGGACTTTCTCCCGGGGCTTCGTCCCTCGGTATGCCTACGGTCCTCGCGGTGGAATGGGCGGCCTACTCAAAGTCGCTCTGCTGGGCACCTGCACCTACTTTATCGTGAAGGAACTCTCACAGTAAGCTAGGTGCCCAATCTATGTCATATCGCTGCTATTGATATGCGAACTGCAGAGAAACGATTGAGCTAACAGCTTCTCTAGCAGAAATCAGCCTCCTCCTCATGCCGGCTCCAACGGTGACTCTCAGTCTGCCCAGCCAGTTTCATAGCAAATGCAAATTAACAGCCGGGTATTTGGTATCAGTACCTTGTGAAGTCAGCCCCGATCCCTTCCAGCGGAGGCCCGGTTGATGTGTTCAAACGGCAGAAGACGTTTTATTGAGTGATAATATTGGTGAATGATATATTTTGTGCTATTTATGACTAGGGATCAATCTCTCAAAAATGCTTTTCATAACAGTTATCCTTTGATTATCTGTATTGTACCTTATCCTCAGTTGGTTAGGAATCTAGAGTTTATTATCCAATATTGGTATATACTTGATCTTCTGATATAAGTCTTCTTATACTAGAGTAGAGCATCATAGCACTCTTTATTGATGATAAAATTAAAGACTAACACAAAAGTAAGAGAAGTCATTGTAGGAAGGTAGCAAAGGCCTCAGGCCACACATCTGATTGACCTATACTAGGTAGTCGCACGGCAGTTTTTAGAGTCCATTGCGCTGACTATATATTACTTAGTCGCCTATTTTGCCGCATTGCTCTCATTTGATTTATACGATTACACCAGGGCGAAAAATAGGGTCAAAGAGAGGGAGCTTTACTACTGTACGGAGTAACTTAAGTAAGATATTTGAATATAGCCTATGTCTGTGATGTTGTTAGTATTTTACTTCTTCTAGATATAACCTTGCTGATTTGTAGGTGAAAGCCTACATTCATATTTACTAGTCCTACCTATGCCGAAAATCATATCCCAGAAAATACCAAAGAAGTGACATTTCATGTTCTAGGCTTATTTTTTAGCGCAAACTAAGCATGCCTGTGCGCTCAGCCCTAGAGCACGAGCTGAGTGTTCACCATACTTAGCCTGCGCACATGTACAACCTTGGAACATATTCAGCATATTCGAATAAGCGATTTTCCGGATCTAGAATTAGGGTTACCTCTTTTCGAATTGGAAATAATGCTGACGATAACACCACTGCTTTAGGTGTCAACCCCCAGATTACACCAATCGCGTTGATTCTCTCGGCCGCAACTAAGAACCGATTGACGGTGTCAGAAAAGAAAAAGAGAGAAAGAAAAAAAAAAGACCGGCTCCACCTCTCAATATGCATAGCCAGCTGAAAGAATAAAGTTTAATAAGCATGTTTAATAGCGAATAGTGGAGGCCGTGCGTTGCTGTTGTATGCCTCGTATCAAGATCGGCATTAGCCCTGAAGGTTATCCAATGCCGAACTAGGACTTGGTCAACTTAGGGTTCATCCATTCCCAATTCGGATGCGACTATACATTGCCGAGAAGATAAGTCCCACCAATTTCTACTTGCAACCCGTTTTATCCCGCAGAAATACGTGTCAACCCTTGCTTCTGAGGTAGAGACACTAGTGCTTATGGGCTGATATCGAGCTAAGTATTTCTTACGAGACTTAGATATCTTTTATCTTACTTTCTATATGCCCCTCTAAATATTCATCTAGTACTCGGAGCAATTAACAATGTCAAACTACACAGACAGGACGGATGATTATCCGAACCTGAGTCTTCCGTTTGGATCAATGAGACTAGAGTATGATGTCGTGGTTATAGGATCTGGCTACGGAGCCGGAGTGGCCGCAAGTCGAATGGCTCGAGCAGGGAAGAGCGTCGCAGTGCTAGAGCTTGGATGGGAAAGACGATGTACCAATTGGGAGGCTTCAATTATTAAAAATATCACCGCTAACACTTCCATAGCCGGCTCATTTCCACATACGTTCTCTCAATGCCTGAGGGATATGAGCATCATGGGGAGTACCGTAAATAACTCCTTCATATCAAAGTGGTTGTCGTCTGGGGACCCCACGCGGCTTTTTCAAGTATTTTTGGGCGATGGACAGCATTCTTTTGCTGCTCATGGTATGTGAAACCCAACATGTCCCCAGAATCCATGAATGGGAAAATCCAACGGCTTTTTTTGATTGGAATCATAGGACTTGGAGGGTCTTCATTGATCAATGCCGGGGTTTTTCTAAAAGCGGACGAAAGGACACTACAGATGAGTCCATGGCCGTCAGAGATCAGGGACGAGCCATCTACACTCGACGAATGTAAGTTACATATAAGTATGGTGGAGAGCATTTCATAACGTATAGCCAATGCAGACTACACACGCGCTGAAACAATGCTGCAACCTTTTATATATCCGGATAGTTCAAATCCAAACAAACTCGAGCATCTCCAAGAAGAGGCGCGATGGCTTGGCCAGAAAGATAAGTTTTATCGAGTACCGTTGACCATATTTTTCCACAATGGCCGCAACAGTGCAGGTGTCCCTATGCAGGCAAATAAACGATCGGGCCATGAATGCACTGGTCTCAATGACGGTTCTAAAAACTCGGTGGCGACAACATACCTTGCCGATGCCTGGAATTGGGGAGCTGAGATATTTTGTGGATGTGAAGTTCAATTTGTAGAAAAAGCGGATGGAGGAGGCTACACTATACATTTCGCATGGCATGGAAGTGGGAGGTCGGTGTTTGGGGATCATTTCAAGGAACAACTCTTCTGGGTCAAAGCAGTAAGTTTCGACCGCATTCTTCAGAAGTGGACATGTCAACTCACGCTGTCTACTTCAATCACAGAAGGAATTCTGTTTCCTCGGGGCTGGCGCTTTAGGAACCACTGAAGTCTTGCTTCGGTCAAAGCAGCACGGCCTCCATATGTCACCGCTCGTTGGAAGAAATCTCTCCGGGAATGGTGACCTTTTGATATTTGGTATGTACTTCCCCATGATATAAATCCGAGAACATTTGATTTATAGATTCAAGGGTACAATGGAGATACCAATATAAACGGGATCGCCCGTGGATCTTCGCATGCTTCAAAACCCCCTGGAACAACTGTCACTGCTGTTATTGATAACCGAGTCATCGATCCTCTGAACAATCCACTGTCTGGATATGTTATTCAAGATGGTTGCATCCCTGAGATGTTCAATCCAGTAATCCAACTCATGCTCACCCTGCAGACCATGAAGAGCCAGGCACTGTGTTGTCTTTGGAACCCTCGTCAAGAGGCTAGGAAGACCCTTGCCTCCCTGAGGTCTCTCTTATTCGGTCCATACGCATACAATGGGGCTATTCAGCGGACTTCAACATATCTGGTGATGTCTCATGACAGCAACGAGATAACCTTGACCTTGAAAAATGATCAATTGTGCCTGCGGGGACCGGCAGAAGGAAAATCTGAACATTTCAAATCGATAAAGAAGATGTTGAACAAGCTTTTTGCTCGCACAGGAGCAAGTATGGGGTTTTCATATCCTTATGGTAAGGACCAATAAAAGCTACCACAAAACTACGCTAAACATAGCCAAAGGTCGCCACCAGGAGGAAGCCACAGTCCATCTCTTTGGAGGAGCCAACATGAGCAACGATGGAACATGGCACGGGGGTGTAACAAATCACCTAGGAGAGGTCTTCAGCGGCTCTGGTGGTGAAATATACAAAGGTCTCGTGTGCTGTGATGCATCTGTCATCCCGACAGCCCTAGGTATGTTAAAAGGATATATTTTAGGTCTCGCTATGTGCTAATACTCACAGGGGTGAACCCGCTTGCTACAATATCTGCTCTCTCCGAGCGATCCGTCAATTTAATCACTGAGAGGTCTGAATTGTCAATTGATCTTGAGACTGTGAATCAGCCTTTGAACGCCTACAGCAAGCCCAGTATAACATGGGATCGCCAATACCAACAGAACAGTACCAAGAAATCATCCCAGTCCATAGGATGGCAATTTACAGAGACTATGCATGGGCACATCAGCATGGGGTCGGACATCCGAAGTTTTGCACTTTCTGAGAGGGTAGGAAAAGGCTCATCTTGCGTGATACGGATGTTTCTTACAATAGAACTCTGTCGACGAGGTGAGAAACTGAGAGAGCCCTTTAGCAGAAGAATGTTCACATCCCCAGATTCACAATACCAAGGAGCATGCACCGGGACAATTTCTTGTTACGCATTATCCAAAGCCACGCTCAAGATTGTCGATGGAACGGTGGACTTTTTCACACCAATAGGAGAGAATGCCGAATCATTAGCCATTTCATACCACCTAAAGCTCCTCTCGGTAGAGGGCATAGAGTACCGCCTGGAAGGCCACAAGCTTATCAACTCGAACATATCATTCTCCGTCAGAAAGACTTGGAAAGCGACTACTACAGTGAACGTCGATATCACTCGACTGGACGGGACAAATGTTGGAGCAGGGGCCCTTCATATCTCATTGCTAGACTTCAAGAAGCAGATGAGAACATTTCGGACGACAAAGGTCTTTCAGATCAGCCTTATCTTGACTTTGATGTGGTTTTTGGTCTCTTTCATGTGCCATATCAGTCTCTTCTTTTTTCGCCCGTTCGTCAATACGCGCTTCCCTCAAATATCAACCAAAGCCACAGATTCAAAACAACCTCCTTCCACCTCGTGTGGCATCACCACAAGCGATGGCGTACAGGTACACCTTGATACATACGACCCACTTCCTGTACAAGAGACCGGCGTGCCAGGGCCCAACTCCGACCTTCCACCTGTCCTGCTTTTACCTGGCGTCACCGGGGTTGGTGCGATGCACAATTTGTTTGCACTGCCATTCTTGCGTTGCAATGTGGTTGATTATTTCACGCAGCGTGGCCACCGATGCTACGCACTCACTCCTCGCTGGGGTAGTAATCCCGCCGTTGCCCAAAAAAGCACTGTTTTCGACTGCCGTCTTGACGTTGCTGCTGCAATAGCATACATTCGCGACAAGGAGCGACAGAAACCCTATGTGATAGCCCATTGCCAAGGCTCGGTGGCTCTCTGCATGGGATTGCTGGATGGAACTATCCAGAGTAGCCAACTTCTCGGTGTCACTGCCAACTCAGTCTTCATGAACCAGGTCTTTGGGTATTGGAACTCCCTCAAGGGGAGAACGACTCTGCTGATCCAGCTTTACGAATTTTTGGCTGGGAATTACTTCCCAATTTCCAGCAGTACTAAGAGTGTTATTTTCCAACGATTACTCGACACTCTCCTTCGGTTTTACCCTGTTGGGCACACGCGAGACCTTTGCACGTCTACAGCGTGTCGCCGGACGTCCTTCGCTTTTGGGTTACTATGGAATCATGAGAACCTTGATATGGGTCTTCATGACAACATTCACCAATTTTTCGCGGGGACTCATACAAAACTTATGAAGCAAGTGGTTCGCAGTGGAACCCAGGGAGTCTGCATGGATAATGATTTATGTTCTCTTCTGACCGCTGAGAATTTGCAACGGCTGCAAGGGCTACCGATTCTCTTTGTTTCGGGTACGGAGAACCAAGTGTTTAATCCTGAGTCTACCCTCAAGGACTATGAGTTGTTGCGACGTCGATTTGGTGAGAGAAATTATCGCAGATTTCTAGTCGAGGGGTACGGGCATCTTGATCCTATTATAGGAAAAGATGCGGCCGAGGATGTGTATTGGAGGATCTTTGCGCATTTGAGATGGTGCACCAAAGAGATGGAGAATACGAGTTTGAAAGCCAACAACATACAAGAGGGATGATCCATCAAAGTCGAGGGAATACAGATAGGGCCACACCGCCGGGACTTTGCAGGGATTCAAATGCCCACCCCTTGAAGCCCTCGAAAGGCCTCAATCGATTTTTCTGATACTCTGATTCGGATGACAAGAAAACAACTGAATGGACATTTGCATCATTGGAGAACTGGACAACCCCAGAATGAAACTACATATATAGCTCATATAACAGACTACTATTCCCGCCCCGGCCAAGTGAATCCTGCAGTCTAGCACATCTAAAGTGGATCAATTAGACTACTCCGCTAAAAATCAAGACCAACCAATAAAACCGACGAATCTATACTCGTGTGTGGGCCCCCAATCACTCGCAGTCGCTTGGATAGCCTCACTGCCCTTACATTCCCGGGAGGCGAATCAAACGACCCACAAGCTAAGAACCAAACTTGCGCAATAATGGATCAACAAAAGAATTTGCCGTCGAAACCGACATGAAAACCCCCCAAAACACAGCTAGCCTAGACATACCCAAAGCACCAACCCATCATGTCTGAACTCGTATATATCACCACAGAACCCTCAGACCGGATTCGCGTAAAAGGAATCACACATACACCCGATTGGATCCACCCGCAGCTAATCGAAAGCACCGACGCGATCAAAGGCCGCCAATTCCGCGTTTCCGGTCCCATCCCCAAAGGCGCCTGTCTCCTCGTCGATTCCCCCTACGCAGTCATCCCCGTCGTCGACGAACCCGCCCACAACGACGATCTCATCTGCAGCAATACCGCTTGTAATCGGCCGGCAGCTCGCCACACCCGGACTTCATGTCCGAATGCTTGTATCCCGGATGTGACGTGGTGCAGCAGCACATGTCGCGACGCTGATAGTCTTCGACATGGGTTTGAATGCGCTTGGCTCAAACGGTATGCGGGGACTATACGGTCTAAATGGAGTGAATATGATTTTGGCATGCTGTGGGTTATTGTTCGGTTGCTTGCTGCGCGACATTGTCAATTGCATGAGGTTGGTGCTGCTGAGTCGACGGGGCATTGGAAGCATGGATGGAGTGGCATTGAATCGCTCTGTGGTTCGGAATATACTTGGCCCCATGATAGGGTCCGATCTTGGTCTGTTCTTGTGAAGAAGTATCTGAGGAGTAGTCCTGCTCTTCCCCATGAGATGAGTGCAGACCGTGTTCTTCATCTCATTTGTCAGGAAGAGGCAAACTCATTTGGTCTTTACCCACGAGAAACAGGCCATTTCCCCCTGCCGAACCCTCCTATTGATAGAGGGGAGCAATTCGCTGCTGCTGTTTATCCCACTGCGGCAATTGCTAACCATTCATGTTTGCCAAATGTAAGTTGAATTCTTCTCCGGGGTGCAAATTTGTGAGAGTGAGGCTAATTCACCACAAGATCATCCATAAAGCCGACGACAAAGGACATATGGTCTTTACCGCCTCCCGTGACATTTTTCCGGGCGAGGAATGCTGCATCTCGTACTTCGACCTGACACAATATACTGATCTTACTTTGCGTCGCGAGCATCTTCGGAAATCGTTCCGTTTTATGTGTCAGTGTGAGCGATGTGTTTCTGAAGAGTCGGACAAACCAGCAGAATGGACTGCAATGCCAATGATGGATATGTGAGAATCACTGACTATATAATGACTAGATCTATAGAAACCTACTACATAGCATTATACCACAATACAACGTTTGATTTTGGATAGATTAACACCTGTGTGATACACCCGAGATAGCAAGTCAATTTTTTTATTTCAATCTACTCATCCCAAAGCGCAAATGGCGCTTGCTCCATATCCTAAGCCCCCGGCTATTACAGCCATATCCTCCCAATAAAATCCCAATCCCAATGCACATCTGCCATCCCAAAAAAAGACACCTAAACAAAGAGACCCCAATCACAAATCTCCAATCTCCCAATCGAAGCCCCGATAGTCTCCTCCGCAACAACCTCTTCAAGGGACAAGCCCCTAGGATCGCCACTCTTATCAAACTCCTCATGAGGCACATTAAAGAAGACCAACAAATCCGTCTCTTGCGCCTCCAGCCTAACAAGCAAGAAATGACACGTCAACCTGGAAATTTGCGGCAACCCATTAAAATCCCCATTTGTCTGCGCACCGAGCACTCCGGCATCCGCAACACCAGCAGCCGACCCATCAGCAGACGCGGGGACACGTCCACCGCCGCCGCGCACTGGCGTCGTGAATGAGACAACGCCGCGATACGCCTTGATAGCGGAAGCGGGGGCCGGCGAGGACGAAGCAAGTTTGACTTCGACCCGCGTGGGCGACTTGATCACCTGCATGGTGTCACCTTCGTCGCAGAGATCGTGCAGGTGGTACAGGGCAGCAGCTTGGTCGACTGTTTCTGCCGTTGCGGACGCTGCGCTACCGCTGCCTGGGGCGGCGGTGGGTTGTTGGTGGTTGAGCGCGGCGAAAGTGTTTAGAGCTTCGGCTTGGGGGACGCGCTGGTTGATTTCGATGATTAGGTTGGAAAGCGTGGTTGGTGAGAGCCATAGCTCTTGGTGGTCGGGGACCTCGCGGAGGGTGCTGGGGTTGCGTGTTAGTTTGGGGGTTATGCTTGATTGGGGTGTTCTGGGATGGGATTGGGAATGGATTAAAGTGATAAAATGGGAATTTGATGCATAGGAGGGTTTTATACTAACCTTGAATCGATCCAGCCTTGCGGCACAACGCCTCGAATAGCTCCGCCGAAGAAGTCTTGCTCTGTGAATTGAGACATGATGGACTTGATGTATTTTGATTATATGATGGAGATTTTGATCTTTTTCTTTTCTTTCCTTTTCCTTTTGAAAGGATGTTCTGCTGGTTGTGCACGAGCAAATCCAAATTCTTCGAGATCAATTGCGGATTTTTTCGCCGATCCGTTTTTTTTGCTTGAAGTTTCACAATACAGAAAAAGACAAGCAATCGTAGAGAGTAGCACAGATTAACAGGGACTATATAGTTCCAGAATCGAGAATCCTATTAGGTAGACGAGCAGACGTGCATGAGGCAACAAGTGCGGGCGGGTGTTTTCCGCCCAATGACGTTTGGCGATTTGGCGATTTGGCGGGGTGTTGACTCAGTATACGAATGTATTCGACTACAAACTACTTTAAGCGACTTTGAAGGCAGAAATTTACGGGATTTGAGTCATGATAATTGACTAAAATGTCTTCGTCTCATTCAGATCAATTGGCAAAGTGAATCTCCGTCATTAAGAGCGGAGTCGGGCTATTTACTCGAACAGTTCCTCCAGGTACCGGTCCAGCTCAACCAGCTTGAACTGGTCTCCCCACCGAATGCGGAACTCCTTCTTCCGGTATGCGTAGCTAGTGCCCTGAGAAAAGCTGACAAGCTCAACATGCCAACCGCGCTGTAGCCCGCGCTCGACCATCTTCATGAAACCGCCGGAGAACTCGGCCACTGCCGCATCCCCCGTCGCCAAAACAATCGTCGCCGGGTGTTCCGTATCCAAGATGCTCTCCAAGATCTTCAGGTGTAGAATTTCGTCCACACCCTGCTCGACCCATCGCTCTCCAGAGGCGGCGACCGTTTCAGGACCGCTAGATCCACCCTGGGAACTAGAGCCAGGATTCTTCCGCGACTTGATATTGCGACGAGGAGTGATCGCCTTCACCTTGTGTACACGTTCGAGGATACTCGCTTCGTAGCCGAGTCTCTCGGCTTCATCGACGGAGGGAAGACGATCCGAGCCGACCAAGACTCTCTTGGCGGTCTGACGGCCGCGTTCCATGATCAATGCGAGGTTGGCGAAGGACATGTGGACACGACGAATCCGGGCTGAGAGAGGAATATTTCGCGAGGTTTTCACCGAATCGTGAAATCCGACCATGATCTGAGATGAATTAGCTTGAGAAGATATTAGGTAGAGAGACCAAAACACACGTTTGACACGTCAACAAAGACATGAATAGGACGCGAGCCAATACCCTCACTGGGACGATGGTCTAAAGTCAGTCCCACTTGAGACACGACTTTGGCGTAATCAGGAAAATGGCCGAGAAGTCTGCTCATCAAGTTGACCCTTCGCTCAGCGGCCGATTGATGCAAGGTAGACCGCGCACGAATGGTGTCGGCATTCAGTATCCACTCGTTATCTTCAAATGATGACGGTGGGGTATCATAACGGCGACTCTTCCCATCAGGCGTACCGACTTGAGATGGGACAAATTTAATGGCCACATGTTTCTCAGAAATAGGATAATCAAACACAACGCTTGTGTCCGAGTCGATTCCAGCGCTTTCTTCAGAAGTGATTGGATTGTTGCGCGTGTTCTTTCGGAAATCTTTTCCACGAGACCGAGTCTTAGGTTTTGCCGTGGGAGTATCACTTGGATCACTAACTCTGGCGCTAGCAATCATCTCCGGGGGTGTTCGTGGAATACCAAATTTCACATTGGCACTCGTTCCAGAAGGCCCTTGAACAGAGGTCCGCTTCAAGATAGTAAATGGTTGACCCCCAAAATCGGTAGGAATACCTATCGCTTGCCATTTTGGGGATGAAGAAGAATGGGAGGTATAGCCAGTGCCGGTGTCCTTGAGAACCCGATGATTTGGCTCATTGATGATGCGAGAGGTGTTGGACGAAACGGGAACAGATGATTCGATGCCAAAAAGGCCAGAGAATGAGACCTTCTTGGCAGGTCTTTCCACTGAGGTAGAAATCAGTTCTTCAAGGAATGGCTGAGCTTTGTTCTGCTCAGACTTGGTGGTCTTTGTGGTCCCTAAACTTGGTGTGACGCTCGCAGGAGCAGGGGTCCCGTTGAAAAGCTCCCAAAGACAACCAAAGTCACCAAGCTTCGGGTTACTCCGCTGAGAAATTAAATCCACGAGACTGCCATTAGTGGTGTAATGGGGATCGTTCTTGGCTTGTTGTTCATCGAGCGAGGGGATCGTAGATTCATTGTGGCGACTAGGTCTCGCAGTGCAGCCATCGATAGGCGACCGCAGTAGGTCATGCACTGGAGTGAAGTCCCAGTTTGAGGGGACAGGGGAATCAGATAGAGTCATTGACAGCTAGATGAGACAAATAGAACGGGTGTGTAACAGGTTCATATGTTGGGGTTTGGATGGTAGGCAATGAAAGAACGATGAAATCAAAGTCTTGTCACCAAGATAACGATCAGATTGATGGTCAAAGAGAATGTGACGATAAAACATGAGGAAGAGCGAGTCTTATCCACATAGTGAGTCAGAACGAAGGATGAGAATGAGGGAAACAAGTTGATCGGACATGGACGACTACAGTTGATGCCCGAGCAGGTGACGGAGGCGGTGAGTAGTTCTGTCAAGTCTCACTGACCGCCTGTTGGTATTTGTTCCCAATTAGGCTTAGCCGTTCCTGGGGGTTTACGTGATAACACGTGACTATACTGCATGTGATATGAGATACACAATCACGTGCTCCTCAAGCCTTTGAGTCTTGGCAACCGTGCCCTGGAATATCTTCATGATGTCATATCCATAACATCAAGCAAATCCAGTGAATCGAGAACATGATGCCATCGGGTGCCACAGCCTGTATTTTGCGCAAGGCCCTCTGCAGCTGAGCCTTAGGAGCCACGCTGATTGGAGGAACCATTATTAAATTTGAGGGAAGTGGTTTGTCCGGGGTCCCGGCCCAAATAGATGTGTATACACATTGCCTAGCTGGTATCTGGTGTCTATTGTGAATAAAGTAAGTCGATCACGATAGCAAACACAAACGACGTCATGTAGTCTCTCTTCAGGAGCTCGCAATGAGGACAAACAAATCTATATAAACCCCCCTCTTTCCCTCTCTGGCTGTACTTCCTTCATCAACTTCTTCTACATTAACTAAGCCACACAGTTTACTTCTACTTTCAACCACAAAACTTCAATCAATCTTCATCATGTCTGACGCCGGTCGCAAGGATTTCAGCACCAGTATGTGACACTACTTTATCTGGCTGTCAATCGGTCAAGACATCGTTACTAACCACTTCTTCGTACAGAGGCTAAGGAGGAGCTCACTCCTGACTCCACCAAGTCTACCCAGGAGAAGGTCAAGGAGACCTTCACCGACACCACTGACCGTGCTTCCCGCGGCTTGCAGACCGATGATAGCAAGGGTGCTGGTCAGGAGGCCTTTGACAAGACCCAGCGTGCCAGTGACAATCACGGCCAGGGCGGTGCCACCAGCTCCATGTAAGTGGCCCTATTCTTGGAACCGAAGACTCATAATCTAACCATACTCCAGTGGCGACAAGGTCAAGGGTGCTCTCGGTCTCGGCGGCAACTAAGATGGTCTCCCTTAAGTGAGTGACCATCATTATGGTCATTCATGACTTCGGGCAGCCCTGCACTCAAGACTCATGAGCTCACGATACCATTTGCGTTTCTTTTTTTTTTATTAGCCAGGGGACCTGCTCTTTGAATCCATTACCATTTCAAGTGAAAGAAGTCGATTCATTATGTAAACCAAACGTTGTAGAAGGAGAACTGGCTTTAATACCGCTCGCCTATACTGTCAACTATTGAATCTCGTTGTCGCTTAAGCTGTCTAAGCTCGCGCTCTAGTTCTTTATACTTTGCCCGTGCCCCTGGGGTATCCTTGGGAAGATCGTGGAACGCCCTCACGCGGCCTTGCAGGGCCTTCACCGTCTCCCGCATTTTGAGAACGTTTTCCTCCTCCACCATCAGCTCCTCAATAGTTGGCCCCCGGGGCTGGACCTTTTCTAGTGATGCAATGCGATCTTGGTACTCCCCGACCTTGATCGCAAGTGTCTTCGTGCCGCGTGTCCACTCCGACGTCAAGCTTTGTGCATCAGAAGGCGTCTCGTACGCCACGTCGGTCTTCAATTCCTCAAGCTCCATCTGTAGCCGTGCCAGCTCTCGCTGAAGGTACCGATGTAATGTGTCCACCTTTGCAATTTGTTCCTGGGCCTCGAACTCCTCCACCGTGAGTTCCACAATTGACTGCCCCAGATCTCCCGGGTTCGGATTTAAGGTATTGCCCAGAGCTGCAGCGGAGTCGGCGAGGTCTTCTAGATCGCATCTTCCTTTGTCATCCAAGCACATTTCGACTTCATCAAGGAGTTGGTTCTTCTGTTGTTCGTGGGGATCATTGCGTTCGAACTCTTCCCGTCTTTTGTACGCATCAACAGCATCTTCGCGCGCGCAATGTTGTAGAGTGGCTTCTTCATCTGCAGAATCATTGGCTGCAGCTAGGGTCAGGAGGACGCGGAGGGTATCTTCATTGCGCTCGAACTTGGGGACCGGTTTGGGCGCGTATTGTCGATTAAGCCAGGAGTTCACGTAAGCCCAATCTTTAGCTTGGATAGCAGCCTGGCGGGCCTTAGCCGGTGAAACGAGTGGACTATCCATGGGATCAGGTAGCAATACACTCCCAAAAATAAATGAACTGAGACAAATCAGGAGGGGAAACAAATAGAGTAATGTGTTGACGATAAGATACGGGGAAGGCGGTCGATGCGCCAAGTGCGCGGTTGTCCTCTACTTCCCCTCGCCGACTCTCCGCTAGGTTGCTCGAACAACAATGACTAGCTATTTTCCACCAAGTGGCAGCGCCAGTAATGGTGCTAATACACCGACTGCGTCGTCTCCATTGTCCCCACCAACGCAGCGCCCGAATGCCCTCACCAATCGGTTGACATCGGTACTGTCGGCATCGTATGCGGACTCGGACATTCGGGACTCCCTCGAGACTTTGAGCTTGAGGGGCATTCACAACACCGCAGAAACCCGTCGGCAACTACGACTAGATGTGCAAAAGGAAGTTGTCGATTGCAATGCGGAGATTGTTAAAGACTTTGGGAAAGTGGCGGAGGTGAGACTCCCATTGTTCTATTAGAGATTGGGAGCCGGAAGTCTAATTCATGAATGGCAATGATAGCAATTAAGACGAATCGGAACGGTTGTTTCAACGCTCAATCAGACATGTGATGATATGCGCAAACGAATCAACCTCGCGAAGCAGGATACCACACCGGTACTCGAAGAGGCCAGCACCCTGATGACACAAAAGAAAGAGACCGAGACCAAACAACAGCTCTTGGAAGCCTTTTCGAAACATTTCTTGGTTCCGGAAGAGGACTTATCGGTTTTGACATCGGCCGAGGAGCCCGTTGACGAGCGGTTCTTTGACGTGCTAGCTCGTGTCAAGCAAGTGCACCACGATTGCGAAGTCTTGCTCGGCGGCGAGAATCAGCGACTGGGCTTGGAAGTGATGGAACTGAGCACCCGAAACCTCAATTCAGCATATCAGAAACTATACCGATGGGTACAGAAAGAATTCAGGACCCTGAATCTAGAAGACCCTCGCATCAGCAGTACGATTCGCCGCGCTCTACGGGTGCTGGCAGAACGCCCGAGTCTATTCCACAGCTGCTTGGACTTCTTTGCGGAGGCACGGGACTATGTACTGTCCGATGCTTTCCACTATGCACTGACTGACGCTGTTTCCGGGGCCAATGGGCCCGGGGCCGGTGATCACACTGTTAAACCGATTGAGTTCTCAGCGCATGACCCTCTTCGGTACATTGGTGACATGCTTGCGTGGGTGCACTCAACAACGGTATCAGAACGAGAGGCTCTCGAGTCGTTGTTTGTTGATGATGGGGACGAACTCGCTCGGGGGATTCAGGCTGGCCTGAGCAGCGAGCCCTGGTCGCGCATCGACGAAGACCAGGAAGTTGCCTATGATGGCCAAAAGGCACTTAGTGACTTGGTCAACCGCGACCTTACTGGAGTGTCTCGATCACTGCGGCAGAGAATAGAGCTCGTCATTCAGAGCCACGAGGACCCTGTTACTTGTTACAAGGTGGTGAACTTGTTGTCTTTCTATCGCACAACATTCACCAAACTAGTGGGCGCACAATCGCACTTAGTGGACCTGATCCAGACCTTGGAAAAGTTCACTCTTGGCCACTTTGAGACTCTGATGCGCGACCAGATCAGCGCCTTGGCTGGCGATAATGTTGCCCTGACTCCACCAGACGACCTGTCGCCCCCACAGTTCTTGTTAGATGCATTGGAAGGCCTAGAAGTACTCATGAAGACCTACGAGGCTTCCGTCGGACCAGAAGATTCATCTCCAGATACGCCCACTGACAACCCATTTACCTCTGTCCTCCGAGCCGCCTTCGATCCATTCTTGACACTAGCCCGGTCCTCATCCGATGAACTTCAAACCACCACAGCGCAGTCCATTTACCGCACCAACATTCTCCTTACAGCACGCGCAGCTATATCACCATTCCCCTTCGCAAGCTCCACGCACGTCCCTCCCATTTCTGCTGCCCTATCAACCCTACGCAGCGATCTTCTCGACACACAACACCATTTCCTCCTCGATACCTCTGGTCTCGAGACGCTCTTAGAAGCCCTGGAGCCTTTCTCAGACACTGCCGAAGACAAGACCGAGAAGCCAGACCAGCAGAAACCCCATCTAGCCGACCTGGCCAGTCTCCCAGCTTTCCAACCAGAGTCCTTAATCACATCCAGCCAACAACTCGACGACTTCCTCCCATCTGCACTTATGGACGCAACCGATAACCTCAAGCGTATCCAAAGCCTCTCCCTGATTCAGAGCGTGACCGAGGATGCGGTTGAAGCATTCTGCCGTGATTTCGAGTTTGTTGAAGGCATGATTATCGCCGCCGACGAGGCGCGGGGAACTGTGAATGTGGCCATTGGGGCTGGGACCAGTGTCAGTGGTCAGAGCGGTAAATCCGATGGCAGGATAGAAGCGACCGAGAAGGATGAAGAGGGCGAGGACGAACAATGGAGTTTGAGATCGTTGTTCCCTCGAACGACAGGGGAGATCCGAGTGTTGTTGAGTTGATCTATATATTCCTTGTACAGTTCCAAGGTCTGTACTTAATTCATATCTAAATGTACAATGGAAACACACCCCGACCACCTGCAGCTACACAGCCCCATAACCCCAATTTAGGTGCGCCTTTAGCTTCGCGCTAGAAGTACTTGGCTGTGATATTGGGGACAGGGACCCTATTAGAACGCAGACTAAAGTCTGGCTCCCATAATTTGGTTTGACACATTGCTGCTTACCCGGGCACTTTTTGAGCTGAGCCATAATTTACAGTGACGGACCCTAAGTTTCAGCACCCTTTTTTCTGCCCGCCCTGATTCCACCAACCAAAAGCCTAAAGTTTTGAGCGGTATGACTACGGGTTATACTATATAGGAAGGCGGTATCCAACGAGGGTGCTGAAACTTATGGACCGTCACTGTAGATACCTCTCTCCGTACTAAAACAAGAATAAAATACCTCGGAAAACCCACGCTGCATTTGAAGTCTGAAGATTAAAATGCTCAAATTACTATCACGGAGACCTTAATAAATAGTGTACCTACCCGTGGATTTTCTTGAGAACCCAGGTGAGAACCCAGGTAAATGAAACTATTCTAATGATACAAACTTCCTCTTCCTGTTAACTTGGATGCTGTGTCTGAACCTACCTCTCTGGCATCTAGGCCTGGCTGCTTCCGACCGTACAGATCTCTACATTCCAGAAATTGAAGATATTCCCCGTGTATATAGCCTCAAATATAATAGGTAGAGGGCGGGTCGATTCCGATCTTAGACTACTTAGATCACGCCCGAGGTAGGGGAGGAGGATATGGAGAGTGTACACACCTAGGATTAGGTGAATATAAGAAAATAGACACCAGAAAGGCCATGGAGAACAGAGAGAGAAAAAAATCACTATTCCATTCCTATAATCGTATCGAACATACAAAGTCTCCGACAAGGAGGATAGAGGGATAACCTAAGAGGGAGTCAAATAGAGACAAGAGCAGAACCAAAAAAAGTCCAAGATGAGTAAATCTAAATCTACTCTATCCGCCTCGCTCACCGAATTCTTTCGCCCAATCTTCATATTTCCGGAGTCCGTCGTGGGATACACTAGGCCGGATGGAATACAAACTTGCCTCGAAGTCCTGGAAGATAATGGCGCGAATCTGGTCCATGGGTGTGTGTAGAAGGGCCTCGCCCAGATTTCGCAGGGGGCCCATGGCCGCATCTTTGGCGAGGGCTGTTATGTCTGAGCCGGAGAAGCCTGGGAGAATTTCAGTTAGAAAGACGAACCAGACAAAAAAAAGAAAGGTTACAGGGGAGGAAACAACATACCTTCTGTCACCTGTACCAAAACCTGGATATCCGCATCACTCAGCTCGTGGTGCTGGTGACCGATAAGCTTGCGTATCTGCTGCTCGCGGACATGATGTTCAGGTAAGGGGATGTACTGGCGACGGACGAAGCGACGACGAGCAGCCTCGTCGATATCCCATGGCATATTGGTGGCCGCTAAGACGAGTACACGACTAGCATCGCCTTCCTTCTTCTCGCGGCTTGTTTGTTCGCGGCCTGCAGCTGCGCGCTGGAGGTCGGACCATTGGACCAGGAATTCAGTCTTGGAGCGGCGGGAAGCCTCGTGCTCTGAGCCGGATGATCGGGCAGAGAGGAGGGAATCGATTTCGTCGACGAAGATGATGGATGGAGCGAGGGCTTTGGCGAGCCCGAAGAGGGCACGCACGAGCTTCTCGCTTTCGCCGTGCCATTTGGATGTTAGACTTGAGGCGGAGATGGAGAAGAAGGTTGACTTGGATTCTGTGGCTACTGCCCGTGCGAGCATCGTTTTGCCTGTGCCGGGGGGCCCGAAGAGGAGCATTCCGCGAGCTGGTTCGCGGAGACCAGAGAAAAGATCTGGACGGAGGAATGGGTAGACGACTGCTTCTTTGAGGGCCTTTTTGGCTCCTTCTAAGCCTGCTATGTCATCCCAATGTACTTCGTCGCCGCGCACTACAATGTCGTTCAGGATTTGCTTTGCTGCCTGGGGATCCACACCCCTAGGCAATTTTTCCATGATTTTCAAGTATTCACTGTCTGCTTCCTCATCTTCGTCCTCTGCGTCGCTTGCTGCGGTCCGCTGATCTGAAGACTCTGGGTCGCTTGACAGTGGTGTTGGTGTCTCTTGCCGCTTGACTGGTGGGGCTTTTCGTCGTATCGCACTATCGCTATTTCCTTGAGAGATGGCCAGCCGGTCGACATCACGATGGAGATCATCACCGATAGCAGATGATGAAGAAACGCGGGCTGGTTCGTCAATTCTTGGGGGCCTAGGCGCAGATGTTGTCCGCGGCTTATTGTTGGAGGAATTTACTTCCCGGTCGAGTCGAGGAGTGAGACTCCGAGAAGAATTCTCGGACTTGGTGGCTTGTATTGGATGGCTTGTTGATTGGGAAGATCGCAAGGCCACAGGCTTGGGTTTGATGGATGGTCTAGGTGGTGGTGCAAAGTCTGCCGGATTCGGCATAGACATTGAATGAGGAGGATGTTGTATTTTAGGGCTTTCAGGTGGAGGTCGAGGTCGAGGCCCCCGCGGCGGTAGCGGACTAGGCGATTGAGTAGACGGTCTGGGCGAGGATCTCTTCGGAGATGAACGAGGAGGCTCTCGCCAATGGGCAGCAGGAATTCGGTCCTCGGATAGATGGTCACGGGAAACACGAATTCTCGGCTGCGGACGCTCGTCCCCAGTACTAGATCTTGGTCCTGCCTCTCGGCGGAAACTGGGATCATGGGCGGCGCTTTGCCTGGATGAAGCCAGGGCCGCATCGCTCACAGGTTTCTCGCCCGATGCAGAACGGTAGATGCTACCCCATGCTAGTCCCGCAGCCGTGGAGGCAGCAGGTCTCGAATCCTTTTTCTTTGATGCAACCTTGACTTTCTTGACACTCTTCTTGCCATCGCTACTGCGCAGGGTTGTCAACATAGGTTTCCGGCGCTCGGGGCTAGAGCCACGCGATCTCGTTTTGCCCGAAGAGTTCGAGTGCACACGCAATGCAGGCGCTCCACCCGCTGACAAGGTCACTGGACCAGGATCGTCGTAAATTGGCGGCGAGTCATAGCTTTGTTTCGTCGGAAGCATAGGTCGACCGGGTATGGCGGCCGGTTTGGAGAGGTCTGTATACCCCACGGCAGGGATTGTCCCATCTCCGATCCAGCCAGGAGTGTTGGAAGACGATGGCGGCGGTATGCTGGGGATTGACTTGCCCTTGACGCCCTTGACGCCCTTGACGAGTGTTGCGCTCTCTTTGCTGCCATTTGCCTTGCTTCCATTTGCCTCTGCGGATTCTTTCCTGCTTGCTTGGAGGGCGCCTAGTAGATCGACCCGTTCTCGGCATTGAACCTCTAGCGCCCGGATGGAGTCCTGCAGGGCTCTCTCGGTTTCAGATTTCGGGGTATAGTTCGACGGTACACGACGGGCATTGTGATGGTAGATAGTCTCAAGGGCAGATCTCCAGGACCGCAATGCTTCCTCTTCGTTGTTCTAGTATTATGAGCCTCAGGAAACTGGTGTCGAACTCGTGGACTTACCTGGCCCTCAAAGTACACGGCAGTGGAGCACGCGAGATAACACTCGTCGTACGTCTTCTGCAAGGAGGACGCAGGCCGTGGGCGCATCATTAGGAATATACAGGCCTGCCTGCATCCATTTCACGACAAGTTGGTGGAGTTGGTGAAAGCGATGATCTCCCGCAGTTGGAGGGGGGAGGATTTTTCGCGTGACGTCGTCGATTCGGGAGTTACGCATGCGTCCAGTGAAACTACATGTACACAGTAGCATTATTATATAAATCAATTAAAATGGTAACCTCAGATATCATCTCTAAATTCCTCACGTCTATGGGTACAAGCAAGATCCTAAAAAAAAAAACGTAAGTTATAGTGATGCCACAGAGAACCCAGCCCTCTCAAAGAAACCAAAAATAAAAACCACGAGGGTTTTTTTCCAACGCCGGTCACAGTATAGGACACATCGAATGGAAGGAAGCATCGAAGAATCCAAAAATAAAAAATAAAAATCAAGCACCAGATTTAATCTCCGAAGTCGAAAGTGGCCGTGTCCCGTTGTTCCCAAAACTATACATTGCCGAATCGCTTTTCATAAAAAGCCCTAAACATGCAACAAGATCGAAATGCGGGCTCTGCTAGCCCGAGATGCGCCACAAGGAGGGTTGCTGGGCTCCGCCCAACCCCCCATATCCAGAACATATTGTAAAAGAACAGACCCATATCGCCCGAAGAGATCAAAGAAAGATTATATGGTGCCCACACAAACGTGGTATATCGAACAAGTAGGTCTATCGGGAATGGTGGATAGAACCCATGGCGAGCGGCCATGCGAGAGGATCAAGTCGGGGTTCTTTTAGTCGAGGTGCTTCTTGAAGTATGCCTTAGCCATCTCATATGATGTCCTAGAAAAGAAGTCAGTAAATGTCCAATCAAATATTCAAAAGAACTGAATGCCGGAATGGGACGTACCAGCAAATCGCAGTGCTCGGCATGGTGGAAATAATCCGAGGGCGCATGCCACGCAGGAAGCCAGACCAACCAAACCGGCGCTTGATGATGGCAGCGGCGTTGAACAGACCCTTTGCAGACCGCACCTCCTCACTCTCTGCGAGGCCACGGGTCTGAAGGAGGGTCTTTACAACGTCAAGGGGAGTGGTAAGACCAGCTGCGAAAGCACCGGCCAGACCACCTGCGATGCAGTGGGTGAATGGATCGTAATCATTCTTGGGGTTCATGATCTTCGAGATCGACTCGTAGGCAACGAATTGAGTGGCCGTGAAGGGCACGGTCATGCAAAGTGTGGTAGGGTAGGAGACGTAGAAGGCCTGGAGACCTTCGGTGCGGTAGAGGGTCTTGGCGCACTGCGCCAGGGTCTTGTGAACTGAGCCGTGGACTTGCATACGTTGCTTCATCACTGTAGAACGAGTTAGCTGGGCGGGATTTATTGCCTCGCACGGGTCACTTACCATCAAATGGGTTCATCAGCGCATCGCTGGCAATGGTAGCGGCCGCTCCACTCATAGCTGCACGATAGTCACGTCAGTTATTGCACAAAAAATCAATTCGACAGTTCCGAAAAACGTACCGGCAGCCAAGGGATGATGTCCATCGTCGACATTACCACCAGCCATTTCCTTCACAATCTCATATGTACCGAAGTAGACCGCGTGGGCGGGACCTATCGTTGCGAATCAGAATTGAGTCTTTCACAGGAAATTTCCACGATATACACACCTGCGCCGACAATCACACTCGAGACTCCCTTCCATAGTGTCCGCCAGCCCTCAACTCGATAGATTGTAGAGACCGCGTTGGTCAATCCGGTGTAGAGACCGCCAGCTGAAGGGGTCAAGATTTGCATGCGAGTCTAGCAACGGCAAAATGGTCAGCGCTCGATTCTTTTTCCCAGTTCCAAGGCCTTCAACCAGAAGCCAAACTTACCTTGAGCAAGTCAACAGGGTACATCACCGAGTGTTCCTTTTATTTGATCAGCCAAAAATCCTCCCAAAAAACCCTCAATAACCATATAAACATACCGCGATCCCCGCGAAAGCACCAGCTAGCATATTCTGGCTGAGGCCATAGTTGGAAGGCAAGGCTTCATAGCTAAAACAGAATATATCACATTAGCTTAGGCCACGAGATCGGATCCCGCAGAGCGACAACAGGGCGAACAAGAAAGTCAGGATGCTCAACATGGACCATCAAGCAATTGCTTGAGCACATCATATCACCAGAAAATAAAATGTGTTTGTCCATGTGTTCATTCCAGCGATCCCGGCGCCAGAGTGCCTGGGGAAAAAAATCCATCAGAGAGCGACATACTCGAATTCCTGTCCGGGGATCTGATCGGAAGCCGCCATGGAGCTTCCGCTAGCTCAAGGCGCAGCTGTAGCAGATGAAGAGTTCGTGCGGAAAGGAAGGGAGGTTGACTGTGGCGGAGGTGGAGGAATGGGAAAAGTGAAGATGAGATAAACGGGGATTGGCTTGGAGATCCCGCGGAGACACAGTCACAATACCAACAAAAGAGTAAAAGAACCAAAAGCCAATAAAATGGGAGCAGAAATGAAGAAATGAAAAATAGAAGTAAAAGAGGAAGACTCTTTTGCTTTTTCTTTTTTTTTAACGGAATAACCTCGAGAGGAAATATTGGAAATTTAGGTGTTTTGGCCGCAAAACCCGGAAAACGGCGCTAGGGAAATTATTCACGGACTTGCCCAGGTTGGTTCAATGTTATTATTTGAGTATTCTACTACGGAGTACGGAGTACAATAAACCCTTATTATTTCTGTTCTTTTGATTATTAGAGACTATTTTCTACTTATTTTCCTTCTATACTCCTACTTCTCCTTACATCAATCCCTTTAAAAGTACTCCGTACACCGTCTGCCCTGGAGAATGTATCCATACGCTTATTCAGAATCGGCGGCCAGACCCTCGGCCGTTCATGCCTCGGAACTAACATTTACAACATAATATTAGTGAAAGGCCGAACTACACATATATAATATACATAATACATAATATATATATGTAACTTATACTCCGTACAGCTCCGGACAATAATAACACATGTCTATAGCGACAAACACCGTACAAGTAAGTACCAATACACAGGTAGATCGCCTCCGAAACATCCGATGACGGAGTTTAGGGGAAGACCCTCCCAACACCTTAACTTTTTATGTAAAGTACCGTACCAGTACCTTTACAGTGTAGCAACCACATCACAGGTACCCAACCGGTACCCCCTGATTTTATCAATCAGATAAGACCGCCCCCTAAAAAGCCATCGTTCGCCCTTGACCACATTTCGCCTAACTCATATTTTGTTATAGAGTGGAGCTTCGGCCTGGTCTTCCAGAAGGATTTTTATTTTCTATTAGAAATAGAAATACTTCTAACCATCTCCCTTTATACATATATACATACCCAGCTGTACCTTGTTTATATTATATCTCATGTCCATTACTAACCTTGCCTCTCGTTTCAACGAACTCGGGAGGCGAAGCAAAAAGCAGAACACGCGATCTTTCACTGGGGCATGCCGAGGCCCGGTGGGACTCCCAAGCCGCGAACTAAACTCATCTGGTCTATATTGACTCGGATTCTACGAGGGCCCCTTGTTTCTCATGGGAAAATCTTACACCTGACTCCATTGTCAAGGGGTAGGATCGAACGCGGTGTATCTCAATTTGGGCTGCATGCTATAGAGTCACTCTATATTATATAGGAGCGTACATGAGCAGAGTCCCTGTTCTTCTTCCACTCACTACGCAGGAAGGATGCATTGAATGGGAGAACTTCACTGCGATCTGCATCTCATAATATCTGAGAATAATCAATTCTGTAAAAAAAAAGCCGCTGCGCCTGAACTCAAGGCAATGAGGAAAGAGAAGACGGAATCTGTGATGAAAACACACCAAAAGAAAAGCCCTCATCAAATGAGGATACATGCAGGTAATTCAAGTAAGCGGGAAAACAAAAAAAAAAGGCCCGTGTCAGCCCTGGGGATGCATGGATATGACCGTTGCTACTGCGAAGCCAGTGCAAGGGCGATGATCTCAATGGCTTTAGAGGTAATGGTGGAGGAAAAGGAAAAGGTATGCTGAAGCTTCTTGTAAAAAAAAAAGGATGTCGTTCACGTCGTCAAGATCTCGTCCGTAGTCAACGGCGAGTGGAGAGTTAGAGTGGGTTGTGATTTACCACTCAATGTTAAACGACCACTCTCCTAAAAAAAAAACACGTGTTAGCAATGTAGGGAAAATACATGTGAAATTCCCACTTACCATTCTTCAGGTTCTCAGCAGTATCACTCAAGAGAATCACCCTGCGCTTGTTGCAATAAGCAGTCTTGTCCAGGATATCGACCTTGAGTCCTGCCAGTTCGGCAACGGGCTTCTCGAACATCTCACTGAGACTCTCGACAGCCATCTCCAGATCCTTCTGGTTGTCCTCAAAAATCTCAGTCAGATTGTTCCGAGCAAGGTAAAATGCAAATGCGTAAGTCCACTTCAAGGTCTGGCGGCACTGCTGTAGGGCCTGCGACGCGGTGTCTAGGAACTGCACCTCAATCCAAGACAGACCAGACTGCGACTGAAGACTAGTCATCTTCTTCTCCGTCTTCAGGTACAGATCCTTGTCGAGCTTGGCAGACTGTTCATGGTTCGCATACCGATTATAGTAATGCAGGTATCGCTCCAGGGAGGAACGCGATTTGGCTTGAGCTGTGCGCGCGTCTGCGCCTGACTTTTCTTCGTACCGGTTGCAGTTGTACCAGCTCGTGCCATGCTCGGACCAGAGACCCATACACATCCAGCAGAACTCGTACTTGCACTTGCGGCAGGTCATGTGGTTACAGCCACCATTCTTTTCGATCGTCGAGTTACACTTAGTACACTCTTTGGTGTTTGCCGAGATCCAGTTGGCCGTCTCGGAGTCATCTTCACATTTCTGTAGCCACATCTTGACCAGCGTGCATGGCGCGGGCTGGTGGTCGCTGAGGGAACATCCGAAACAGAACTCGTGCTTACAGAAACATCGCACTGTTGGAACTATGCGACGGAGATCACGGTTCTTTACCCCACAATCAATGGCGTATTGACAGTTTGGTGCTGGACACCATTTCAGGTTTTCTTTATCGTCAACGTAGGTCCGAGTTAGAAGTTCGCGATATCTGTAGTGAAATACATGTTAGCAAACGCTCCCTTCCAACTAAAAGAAGCATGCAGAATAAAACACGTACCTTCCTTGAAGCTCCTTTGTCACGAGCAGATCCAGCGACTTGGAGTCCACGATGCGATTACAGCCATCGCCCGGACACTGGATTCGGCCAGCCTCTCCTTCCTCCTTAATTTTCTGCCCCAGGTAGTGCCGGTAGCAGTCGACACAATATCGGTGACCACAACGCATGGCATACGTCTCGAGGTCATCACCGTCCTCGCAGCAGATGTCACACATGAAGCCAGGGACGCGCTCGGTCTTTGCGGTCCCCTCAAAGTTCTGCCCAAGTCCAGCCTCCTCCAGCGTCTCTTCCGGATGCTCCATATATGACTCGATCAACTTTTCTTTGTTCCACCGTCCGTACCGCAACAATATCGCCACCGACTCAGGCGGTAGTCCAAGGATGGCGCAGACCTCGTTGACCTGGCCAAGCTGTTCATGATCGATATCTGGAGGGTCGAGAACCTTGTACTCGACTTCATATGGCTTCTTTTTATGTTTGATGAGGTCCTTATCGTCCGAAAACCCGGCGTCGAGATCATCGAAGTCTGCTTCCCCATGCACAGCTTGTTAATCGCCATACTCAAAACGTGAACAGTGAACAGTACAGTGAACAAAGACACAAAGGAAATAACGCAAAGATTAGAAAACACGCACCTTCACCTAAGCTCTCATCATCAGAGCCCTGGGTACCCAAGAAATCATCTTGGCTAGAGACGTCACTCATGAATTCATCGTCAGAGTCCATACTGACGGTGGTGGGCGTCGCGGAGAGCCTCCTCTTGTTGCCGGAACTGGCGGTACTTTCTCTCTCTGTGATTTCTGTGGCGGTCGCTATTGACTCGCTTTGGTGGGAGCGCCGGTCGGACGCAAAAGTGGATTTCCGGGAGCCGTGGGCGGCTTTTGGCAGTGCCTCGTCCGCAATCGCCTCAGCCGCCTTTCTCTTTCGCGTTATTGGAGGCGTGGTGAACGTAACGGCAAAGATGCCGGCAAGGGGGATGTTATAAATGGGAGATCGGGCCAGACGTCACTGGGTAAAACCTGTGACGGGCACGGATAGAGGGGGGTGGGGAAGCGCAAGATCTCCGGGCTGTTGGCCCCGAAGGCGGCTCGAACCGGTGTTCGAAGGGATTACGACTTTCGGCTTTGAGATGGTTGGAATCTATATTCCGTATACTCCATAGAATTCTATTGCATTTGAAGACTACAACATAAAAACAAAAGTTCATGAACAGAAAAAAAAAAACATTCCAAGATTGGTCAGCTGATGTATGTCTGTAGGTAGCCTTTTTCAGCCCATTGACTCAGGTATGAATCATTCCACTTATTCGCTTCATTAGTACAGCCCTAGCCTCTGTAGGCTTCCATGGATTATAACTCAGAACCAAGTTACGCTTTCAAGAACATAGTACCTATATCTGACTTTAATAACACAGATTCCTAATATTCAGTAAATGCCGTTGGCATGAAGAAAACAAGGAACTTTGAATCTCGTATTGGAATTTTTAGTAATAAAAACATGTGGTATCTACTCATCATCACTCTCCTCCTCGGATTCTTCCTCACTACTCTCCTCCTCTGCCTCGGCGAGCCAATCAACAAATTGCTGGGTCTGGCTGCGGACAGTCCGCAATTCCTCGGAGTTACTAGAGCGCTCATCATTCCACCACTGGTCGTAAGCCTCCTCCTCAATAAGGTCAAGTTCATACAGAGACTTGGCAGTAAAGAGAAGGACGGTATCACCCTTGTTACGATGGATAAGATCCTGCTGGAGTGAAAGCAGGAAATCAACCTGGTCGTTCTTTTGTTCCTTGTTGCGATCAAATAGAGTGCGCTCGACGACCTCCTTGTATGCCGTGAAAACCTCATTGACTGCTGGACCGGCACCCTTGCCGCCCTCCATGAGCTGCTGGATGTGCTTCATGAACGATGTCACGATAGCGCGACGGACCTGGTTGTCTGAAGCGTTGGCGCTCATACGTAGCGTGACCAACTCAAGCTGCACCACATCTGCTGCCACGCCTTCACGTAGACTGTCAAACAAACTGACTGATGCATCGTGGTGGAAGTTGTCTGCATCTTCGTCGGCAGAGAAACTACTCCGCTCGGATCGTGCCCAAGAGGTATTAGACACCTCAGACGACAGTGTGGAAATGGAGGCGGAAGAAAGTGAGAGATTGGGCATGCGGTACACTGTAGATGGCATAAAGTTAGTAATCTGAACCCGGGAGGACTCATTCGGAAACGACATACCAAGTCCCGATGATGCTACGCTCATGTCGTCATCTTCATCTTCCTCTTCTTCGCCGTGAATGAACTCATAGCCCTCGCCTCCTTCACCGACAACTGCGGGATCATTTTTACCCACGCCGCCGTCATTTCGAGTTTTCGTGATACGCTTCCCACTCTCCACCCAGATGTTATCTGCGATTTTCACGCCGTAGGAGAGAAGGGCTCCCGCTGCAACGGCACAATTCTTGCCGATAACCACGCCATCGGCGATAATCGCCCCACGGACGTCTGTGTTATCACCAATCACGACATCGTCCCAAATGTAGGCACCATCCAGCTTGACATTGCGGCCAATTTTACAGTTTCGACCAAGCACGGAGTTGTGGACTTCTGCGCGGTCTCCAATGCTAGTGCCTTTTCCGATGACTGTGCGGCGCCCAATGACGCAAGAGCGTGCCAGGGTCACCCCGGTTTCTTGGTACATGCTGCCCTTACGAAGTGTGTAGGTGTGACCAGGGAGCAAATTCGTATCCGGGCACAAGGGGTATGTCCAACGCGAGAGGATATCCTTGCTAATCGCGTCGTATGCCTTCAGGTTGCGCACGCGCGCAGCGTAGTGGTCCTTGATGATGTATGTGTGCAGAGTCTTGCCGTTCAGCTCATAATCCTTCAAGACACCGAACAGGTAGTGTTTCCGGGGCGATTGGTAATCGAAACTATCCGACCATAAGCTCAGCACGTCCGGGGTGCAGATATCGATGCTGCAGTCGATCAAGTCTTGGCGGATATCCAGTTCGGGGTTTTTAAGAATAATTTCGGCGTCAATATTCAGACGAGACAATTGTTCATCATCTGCATGGCGATCGATTTCCTCGTAGTGGAGACAGCGGTCCTTGGTAGGGTCAATGACGAAAATCGGCGAAACTGAGGTGGACTTGGTCCTGTGCTGTAGGCCAGCCTCTCTTAAAACCATGGTCATAATCGCATTCTTGTCAAGTGCTCGGCGGGCCCGGTGCTCGGCCAATGCACCCTCGATGGGCAGGTTGCTGATCACGTCGCCGCTCACGACAATGAAGTCTCCGGTAATAAGGTGCTTGCCGTCCAGATCGCGCATAACGTCACCGACAGAGGTAGAAGTCGACTTGAGGAAAGTAAATTGCTTAAATGGAGAAGACAGGGCCCTCCATTTCGATGCACTAGCAATATAGGTCAGCTCTGCCATCCGTATCAGAGGGAATCTCAAGGGCAAGCCTACTTGATGTATTTCTCCAGTTGATCTGAGTGCGCTCCAGCATAGAGGAAGACCTCCTCCACACCTGCATTGGCCAGAAATTCGAGGGTGTATTCGATCAAGGGGGTATTTGCGAGCGGCAAAAGGCACTGTAATAATTTCGTTCGTTAATTGTGAGGTCTTGAGACATGAATGTTTTGCTGTAGGGAACATACACGAGGCTTATCACGGGTGAACGGCTCGAATCTCGTCTCGAAGGTATCTGCGAGCACCTAAGCAAAGCCACAGTTAGAAAATATATAAAGGATATAGAGAGGACTTCGGCAAGAACAGTCACGCAACTATTTGCCAACTGCTAGACTTACCACAGCTTGGAACGTCTCTTCCACTTCCTCCGCCACGTTGGGCTTCGGCTTTTGCCCAGCTTTCTGCTTGGGAGCCATTGCTGTAGGGAGTGTTAGCAACGAATTCTTTATCGCTCCAGATAATCGCAAGAACTAGTTCTCGTGAAGAGCCGGTGGTAAAGCGGCAGGGCTGTTTTACGTTAAATGTGTCAACAACCCGTTGAGCCCAATGTTGGTGAAGGTAAACTGAGAGAAGTCAGGAGAGGTCCTTAGATACCGTCTCCAGAAATAGCACCAAAGAAACGCGACGATCCTGTTATCAAAGAAGAGCACAAAAAAGCCTCGGAGTCATCCCGCCCACTTGTTTGCATAGTTTGCACGCCAATCCGATTAATATCGTTGCCTGAGGCATAAAAGGTCTTAAATAGGTTTAGTCTGGATCCTATAGATCACTCACTAGAATATCTTCAATAGATGAATGTAATTTCAACAATAACCGGTCTGATTCACTTGAATACGTGCACTGGTGATGCTACATATTGTATGTAGTATGTATTACAACAGTGACAGTCTCATACAGGCCAAGCCGACACAGACTCTGCCTATACGTGCCCTACTTATGTAGGTAGTTTCTATGGGTTATTTGACTGACATATAATTTTCCTCACGACCACTCGTTACTCTTTCAAAAACTCCTTGAACAAGATTTTCAAGTCATGTGATTGTATAGTGTTTTCCCTACAAACGTCTGGAAGGAAACTATCGTTGGTCCCTCTGGTCAAGTCCTGACTCTCGTAGATATATATACAGAAACAAAGATCACCAGCATTTCATGTTATTGCAATGCCGAACGAGCCACACATAACTTGTTTTCATTCCAAACATACTCAGCCCTTGCGAGTTTATACAGTGGGTACTCAACTAGTCTATACCAGATGTGATCCACATAGTCTTCCCGGTTCGGATACTTGAGCTATCCGTATACCTTTGATTTGCACGCCTCACAATCTTCTCTGATCCAGCACCGGCAAATTATCACTCCGGACAGACAAATTTAGTTAAGGCATAAAATGGTGCAACCTATGAGACCGGACGTGGAGGTTCCGAGGATGTCTAGCACTAGCGGGGCCTAAGGAGGGGAGGTGGACGATGTCGTCCACAATAAAAGAAAAAGATTGGTTCAAACTGGATAGAGAGATTGACTTCATTTACCGAGTTTAAGACCGGAACACTAATACATACTATCTAGTTTCATATTCGAAGCAGATACAGGTGATGGCACGCAATTTCAGAGCCATGATCTGGACCTATATAAGTATACCAGGGAAGACCCTTCCCTCTCTTGAACCATACTTCGGTACTGAATCTCCATTGAGAAATGTCTACTGTCACAGCTCTTGAGATGTCTCGCCCCCCGTACGACTCGGCGCTTCAATCCAAACTCGACGCTTTCGATCTCTCCCTCTTCGATACCATCGACAAGATCCGAGCCGTCTCCTGTGCATTCTCTGCCGAAACCGTCCTTGCTGGGGTTCCGCACATGCAACATACAGAATATGTTGCTGATTCCTCCGATGGCCCAGTCACTCTCTCCGTGTTTAGTGGCATGTCATCCACAAACCGCTCCCGACCGGCGGTGTACATTATCCATGGCGGTGGTCAAATAGCCGGCAACCGATTTATCGCGCTAGACAGCCTAATCCGCTTCTTTGAAGGTATAGATATCGTCGCAATATCTGTCGAATACCGTCTAGCCCCAGAACATCCAGCCCCGGCGGCTTTGAACGACAGCTATGCCGGGCTAGTCTGGGTAGCGGATCACGCAGCCGAGCTTGGAATTAACCCAGCTCAAATCATGATTCTGGGTGGCTCCGGTGGTGGCCCCATCGCAGCAGGATGCTCCTTGCTTGCGCGGCAGAATCAGCACCCAACGCTAAACCTTCTTGCCCAAATGCTACTCACGCCTATGCTGGATGACCGAGGTCAAACGGCGTCAGCGAAGCAGTTTGAGCATGTTGGGCCGTGGTGTGGAGTCATTAACCAGATGGCGTGGGACTGTGTCCTTGGACCGGACAGACCGGAGCAAGTTGATTACCTGGTTGCACCTGCACGTGCGACGGACCTGACGGGTTTACCGCCGACGTTTATTGATGCAGGAGAGGCGGAAGTGTTTCGGGATGAGGCCGTTGCGTATGCGTCGCTATTGTGGAAGTGTGGTGTCTCTACTGAGCTTCACGTCTGGAAGGGGGCATTTCATGGGTTCGATATGGAGATAACTGGTGTATCGGAGGATAGCCAAGCTGCAGTAGCGAGGGCCTCGATTGCTGCAAAGAAATCTTGGATCAGGAGAGTCTTCAAAGTGGATCAGTAGCTACTGTTCGCAGCATGATTGCGTGAGTGTGAACAACGCAGGGTACCTGGAATAGGCCAGGAATATATAGTGATCGAACATTTAGGCACATCTGTAACTTACTGCAAATGCAAATATTCTCTAGATTCTACCTTAATGGTGGTGATGAATGCCAGGTCCGTTTCATATAGCATTTTCTTACATAAATAGTCATCATCAAACGTTATAGATAGGAAAGTGGCCTGCACAAAGTATGCTTTTTACCGCCTCTTTCCAAAGGTTGTACATAGAAACGTCGATTTGCACATTTCAAGCCGTTTTCGCTGCCTACATTCTAGCTAGAACACCAATACCAGGGAAAATATCTAGAAAAGATATCTAAAATGACATTTGACTACCAAAAAAGACGTCAGGACATAAGCGGGCGATTATTCTTGTATGCCGCAATAAGAGAATTGTCGCATATTAGTTGTATTCAACTTCACAGAATCACAGACCCTCTATATCACGCGAGGCTCAGGGAAGCATATTTAGGGAAACAAATCTTCCTCAGTCTGCAAGCAAACATATACCAAAAATCGAAATGTCTATTTCTACTTTTCATCGCCGCTCCCCTAACGTCGGAAAACCATGCTATTCCCAGCCCCAGAAACAGCATGAGCTCTGGGGCTCCTATACTCGAAGAATCAACCTTTGAGACCCTTGAAACGATCTACGTGAAGTCAAAAGTCTCTGAACTCCTATCCTCCCTTATCAAGTTCTCCGAGAGTATACCATACTGACATTAATACCGTCTTTGTATGGTACACATCACGCCTGAAATCCTTCCATGGCGGCTTCCGCCACCGTGCGCCAGTGGGCCACGCGGTCCTGCGCCTGGCCTCGCGGGCACACCTCGACAATAGCTCGAATGTGATTGACCGCCATCTGCATCATCTCCTGCTTTGTATTCAGCTGAGTCTGCTTCAAAATATGCTCTGCCCCCTTTTCGCGGCAGGTTTGCTCAAACAATTGCTCCATGCGGGTCTGCTCTGCCTTATCAGCAGGGTCCCATTTCATGTTCCACAGGAATGCTCGCGGGGGGTTCCACCTCGGGCCGGGAACCACCCCGCTGAACTCCCAGTCTAGGACCGCGGTGATTGGACACCCTGGCTGGTCCGGGTCGCACATGATATTAGCAAAATGCAGATCTTTGTGTGCCATGATGTAGGCGACACGGTTGAGCTCAGTCTGGTTGTCTTCCCGCTGTAGTTGCGCCATAAACTCGCGGATCCGAGGGATCAAGTCGCGGTGGGGCTTTAAAGAGGGATGGGTCTCGATCGCGTGGATATACCGCTCGAGGCAGCCGTTCGTATAGGCGGTGTAGCTAGAGAACCCCTCGGCTGGTATGGGGTTGAGACTTTCGAGCGTCTCTGTACTCTTAACTCCGGCCGAGGCAGACCAGTACTTGTCTAGGTCCGGCGTCTGCCAAAAATTTTCGTCGATAGGTGGTCCGCAGGCAATATCGCCCGTCGGTGTTAGGGTCAGCCCGCCCACGTACCCCTCGTGCCAGGGTTGCGCATGCAGCTCGATCAGATAATCCGTCAGTTGATGGACCATCTGAGTCTTGACCTCATCGGATAGCGTTGCATATATCTGATCGACGCTGATACCGGACGCTTTCTCAAGTAGTGTGAACTCATGTCCGATCACATTATCCTCCGTTGCATCGTATCGGATTATAGCCGGTACAGGAATAGAGGTATGCTTGCCGATCCAGGTCATGACGCCCACTTCGTTGCGTGTCTTGATGACAGGTAGCTGCCGTCCAGAGACACGCAGCACGAGCGTAACGGTGCCATCCTTGTTTTCTCGTGCTGTGATACCTTGTACTGAAGCGAAATGAATGAGATAAATGGAATGAAAGGCGGCTTTAACCTGCAGCGGCTCGATGGAGCTTGGTGCAGGGAGATCCAATGATAGGATCAACGAGGTGATAGTTTCTGCGCTCAAGGCAGGAGGCAGATAACTATCAGGGGTGCCCATTGTGAGAAGTTAGAAATTCTTTGAGAGGAGAGACGATGGGAAAAGATTCAGGCCTCTCAAGCGGAAGATTCAAGTTTGGTTGGTTGTAGGGTCAAGTGCGTAATAGAACAACGTCTTCTTTGTATTTGTATTTTGTATTTTAAATATAATCTTGTTCCTAGGTATATTATTAAAGACGGGCAATATTAATTTATCAATAAATAGTTTTTTTTCGTAAGCGTCATAAACTAAACAGGGGTATGTAAATTACAGACATGCAACTCGTTACATTCAGTAGTGTCTTGGAGACAGGGAGATAGCAAATTGCCCCCTTATCAGCACTCTCAAGAGGTTGTCAATTGTAAGTCAATTGACTAATTATCTAGAGATATCACCCGTGATGAGTTTGCCAATAACTGTCAGTTCGTGTAGGGCGAGGGATGCGAATCCCTGCAGATGGAGGTTCACCGAGCCATCTGCGCTCAACGCCCACTCATCAGGACCACTATCGGCAGCATAATCACCGTTGGTTGTACTGACGGCGTACCTCTGGGAGACCTGGATGGCAGGTCCCTGAGTAAATCCAGTGATCCATCCTCCGCCACTGGAGGCTTGAAATCTCCCATACCATCCAGACAGCAGGAGCCAGGTCTCAACGTGGATCGTATCATTCCATCTAGGGTGAGTGTAGGTAACGGTCAAGTTACAGACGTCGAGGCCCGCGATATATAGGGGGCTTATATTCCAAAATTCCCCAGTCGAGGTAGAGTAATTACGAACTTGCGCTACAGTCATTTCCAGCCCCCGGGAGCCGAGGCACAGCAATGGGTTAAAGACATCGGAATCATAGCCCCCAACGCGTCAAAGTTCCAAATATCCATGACTAACTCGCAATTATTTCGAAACAATCGTGAATACCTCTAGTATTCAAGAATCGCACATGCTAACTAGCCAGATTCATCTACGTTCTCGGACAGACGCACAACAGGCCGGACGGGCTTCATTCCGTTCTCCGAGAAATACATGCATAATGGCTAGCCGGACCATTGTGGCCTTCTGGTTGGCGATCCTTGGTGCCTTGTCTTTAACCCTCTGATCCGAAAAGTGGACGACATCGTCCGTTCTTCAGTTTCACTCTCCGAGCCCTGGAGGTCCTGAGCGCTGACTCAGCGGTGGGATAAACCTTGGAACCAAGCCCTTGAAATCGGAAAATTGGACGATGTCGTCCACCTCGGTGCGGCGATAATTCGAATTAATATACTTTTTGATTTTGCTGTTCTATTCATCACAGCCCACGGAGATGGACCCCGGCCCGAAGAAGGCGGTCCGGCGCCGGACATCACGGCAGCTGGAAAGAAAGAGAGAGCTAGACAAGCAGGCGCAGCGAATCAAACGCGAGACGGACAAGGATCGATTAATCCAAATCCAGGCCGATGTCCAAAAAATCCAACGGCAGATGGATAGCCTCCAGAAAACCATGGCTATGATTTTGGATGGGAGGAACACCCTGCACGATACACATCCCAGCACCCATTTCCCCCAATCCTCCTCAGTGCCCCTGCTGGTGGATATGTTCACCTCGCCAGATGATAAGATGGCGGGTACGAGAGGCTACTCGAGCTCTAGCTCCATTCTTGGCGGCCTGGGGTCGAATCCGGCCCACGGCGGACAAGCACCCCCGAAGCTGCATGGGGACACAGATCGGAGTCTCTTGGCGGTGGATTGCAGCATGGTATCAAATGAGCCCAATAATTCACCTGTCGTAATAGGCAGTCTGCATGAAAATGTCCATTCTTGTGGTTCATATTCTCAGGGTGACATGCAATTGCTTGGTTCGACGTTTCATCCATCAGAAACGGGGACAACTCAAACGACACTTGACGCCCATCGCCAAACACGGGAACTCTCCAACAGAAACTCCATCTCGATAAATGATCCAAAAGCTCCTAATACTCTCCATCCACTCACAGCCGCCCCTTCACCAACCATATTCAAGTATCGAGGCGTAGAGCTTCCATCTTGTATCTGTCAACCAAGGGTGCACCCCTCGTATGCAGACTGCTTCGAGCATACCGTCTACGATGCGCTGATCAAAGCGCACGTTCAACCTCGGGCACCACCCGTTCCACTGACTCCATCTCTTCCCGACCTCCTTTTCATGGGAGGAGGCGAGAACGTTGTATCTCGGATTTTAATCAAAATGTTCAAGCGGGACGGCTCGTGCGAGATGGATATGATGTGGGCGGGCTATATTCTACTCTATCGGGTTCTTCGTGTTAGTTCTACCATCCTTTGCTATCCCGCATATCTCTTCTCTGTTTTATCGTCTTCAATTGGACGCAGCAGATTGCTTACAGCAGTAGTACCGTCTTTCTCCATCCCTCGAAACTCTCCAGGACGTACCGGAATGGCTTCGGCCGACTGAAATACAAAATAACACGCCTCACCCAATCTTTATTGACTTTACGCCATTCCCTCAATTGCGTGACGCCATGGTTTCAGGATCGGTTGAGTATACTCGAGAAACATTTGATATAGACTACGGTCGTTCGATTTCGGTCAACTGGCCCAGCTCGAAGCCTTTGCTGGTTCGAAACGAATCCTTCGATGTGGTTCTAAACCCGGATTTTGAGCCACACGTTCTCAATTACAGTAACTGGTCGCTCGATACGGAATTTGCGCTTAAGTATCCACACATGGCTACGATGGCCACAATTAGAAAATGATTTCTATGGGGCAACGTGTGCGCTAACTATAGTTAACAAGCTAATTTACGGAGTGACTGATAGCCCTATACACTGGACGATGTCGTCCAGTTGTTATACGTAGATATTGATAGGTACTGTGGAAATTGGAGAAGGTCGGACGGGTATGCTAGAATCATCTGTAGCCTTAAATGGATCCTATGGCTACATTATATATTATGTATTTCACACGAAAACAGAATGTGAACTATAGAGCAAAGAGAAAGCTATCGAGCGTGGCCTGAAATCTGATGCATATGCCTTTGATTCTTTTACGTGAGAGGATCTTCTTTTAACAAATGTAGACAGAAATGTCCTTAACGAAGGAGGTATCGAATAACTAAAAATAAACCCAATTGAAACGCCAAAACCAGGTCCGAAATATGCCAATCCAACAACATGAACATGAGGCATCAAAACAAAACAAGCCCGTATGCAGGACGAGTCTCTGTATGGTGAGTGGGGGAAGACAATTCAAACAGGTGACTCAACTGTCTGCAGCGGAACATAGCCCTCATCACCCCGACCAGCCGGCATGGGCCCTTTCCCAGTGACCAGTGACCAAAGCGAAGAGAAAATATCCCCAACACGACGATGCAGAGAGCGCGGGCTACTCGACAGAATATTAGTTGAAGCCCACCAGCTCACTTTACGAGCATGACCGCGACGCGCCACACCAGCCGGAGAGATAGCACCCGAGCGAAGCTCCTTCTCAAGACGCTCAACCTCCATCCAAGACGGGCGCCGCCAGAACTTCAATAGCAGACTGCTAACAACAACGGAGACACTGGAAAGCGCCATGGCACCGCCGGCGGCCATGGGGGGTAGCATGAAGCCCGTGAAGGGGAGGAAAAGGCCCATGGCGAATGGAAGGCCGATAACATTATACATGCAAGCCCAAATCAGGTTCAACTTGATGCGTTTGAAGACCGAGCGCGAGAGGGAGAGACTGGCTGGCACAGAGAGTAGATCATCCGGACGCATGAGGACGATATCGGCAGCCTCGACGGCTACATCTGTGCCGGATGCGAGGGCGATTCCGACGGATGCAGTGGCCAACGCTGGGGAGTCGTTGATGCCATCGCCGACCATGGCGACGCGCTCGCCTTCTGCTTGGAGGGCGGAGACGATTGATCGTTTCTCGGATGGGGAGACGGAGGCGCTGATTGAAGTGGTTGGGATGCCGACTGCTGTGGCAATTGATATGGCTGTTGAAAGCGTGTCACCTGTTACCATGGAGGTTGAGATGCCCATGCGATGCAGGGCCGCTACTGCCGCTACAGCTGTCTCTTTCACTGTGTCTCGGAGGGAGATGGTTCCGGCGTAGCGGTTGTCGATTGCGACATGAATGCGTGTAATGCCGGCCGCGGTGGCACCGGGCTTGGGGACGTCAGCTTCCGGGTCTTCGACAGGTTCCGCAGAGTCGGGATCTGCATCAGCGGGCACAGGGACGTCTTTGGACCGGAGGAAGTTGGCGTTGCCAAGGAGGACCTGGTGTCGGATACGCTGGCCGCTAGATGTAGGTTCGACGGCGGCTGAGATACCTTGGCCAACGGTGTTTTCAACGTCACCTGTGCTCCCTGGTAACCCATCTTCTCCGGGATGACCTGATTCGGTTATGGCCGCAGAGAAGATTGCTCGTCCGATTGGGTGTTCACTGCCTGTCTCTGCGAGACCGACAATGAGCCACCAGAGTTGACGTCGCCAGTCGTTCATTGTCCATTGAGGTTCAATTCGGGTGTGAGCTACACTCATACGACCCGTAGTCAGGGTGCCCGTCTTATCAAAAACGACATGAGTGACTTTCGTGGCAGCTTCTAGTACAGCACCTCCCTTGACGAGGATGCCATGCTCTGCGCCTACACCCGTACCAACCATGACTGCGGTCGGGGTGCTCAGACCTAAAGCACAGGGGCACGCGAAGACAATGACCGAGATGCACAGCTTCAAGCAGACCATGACTCGGCCACCACTGCCTGCCATTTCGAAGATTGAGGGCGGATGAGGCAGGACGTGACTAAGGAACATCCAACCAAAGAATGTGATCAAACCAAGACCGATGATGGTGGGGACAAAGTAACCGGCAACAATATCAGCCATGCGCTGAATCGGAGCACGGCTCGTCTGAGCATCCTGTACCAACTTTACAATCTGGCTCAATTGGGTATCCTTGCCGGTTCGAATGACTTTGAAATCAATGGAGTTTGTGCCGTTCACAGTCCCAGCAATGATTTGGCTGCCTTTCTTTTTGTGAATAGGCAATGCCTCTCCACTGATCATACTCTCGTCAACATAGCTTTCGCCCCGGATGACCACGCCGTCCGCAGACACCTTATCTCCGGGGTGGAGGATAACGACATCACCGACTTGAATGAGCTCGGTGGGAATGCACTTTTGGTTCACCGTCATGTCATCGCCCAACGCGGATTGCTCAGTTGCGCCAGGTGTAGGTTTGGAGGTCCAGCGCTCAGCCAGTTTCTCTGCCGCAATGGGATCTTCGTAAATCGTGGTCATGGATGGAGTCAGACACATGAGTCTAGAAAGAGCAGCGGAGGTTTGGCCCTTGGCTCGGTTCTCCAGCCACCGTCCTAAAGTGATAAAGGTGATAAGCATCGTACTGGTGTCGAACACGGTGCTGGGGCGCCTGTGGTCCATGCTGCAAAAAGCCATGATCATGGTGAAACAGCTGTAAAAGAAGGCAGCGGACGTGCCCAACATTACGAGAACGTCCATAGTTGGAGATCGATGCTTGAGTGACTTGAAGCTGGTGACATAAAATCGTTTGCCGATGCCGAACTGCACCGGAATGGTAAGAGCGAGACAGATCAGATCTCCGAGAAATAGGCCCGGGAAGAGAGCAAAACTGCCAAAGTCAATGCCGGGCAAATACATCGGAAGAATCATGCTGATGAAGAAGACAGGAACCGCAAAAGAGGCGGCGATGATGAAGGATCTTTTCCAGTCTTTGATTTCCTTCGTTTTGGACAATGACTGTAGTTGTGCGTTCGTATCATCTGAGTCGACAATTAAGGCGTTAAAACCAGCAGCCTCGATCACTTCCACAATAGACCGGATGCCGATTGTAGATGGGTCAAAAGAGATGACCATACGAGAGGTAGCCATTTTTATTGATGCTGAATGAACACCCGGTTGCTGGAAAATTTTGTCTTCCAATGCTGTAGCAGAAACGCCATCTCGCAGCCCATGCAAGCTCAAATTGACCTGCTGTGTCTTTTTGGAAATTGACGCCTGCGCCTCTGATGATACGATCGACGCATCAAATCCGGCATCTTCAACGAGATCTGGAATTTTGCTGGCAGGGAGGATGGTTGGGTCGTGCACAATCACCGCCCGCTCAGCCAGAAGACTGATGTTGAATTGGAGTACCCCATCGACATTTTCCAAGGCACCCTGGACGCTAGATGTGCAAGCGCCGCATGTCATTCCTCCAATTGCAACGGTGGTGACCAGCAGTCCAGATTTCTCATCCGAGCCAGCCGGTGCAGATGGCTCCTTGGAGCCCACTAGGGAAGTGTCCAGCACTCGCGCTCCAAAGCCTCGATCTTCAATGAGCTCTGCGATCTGCTCCGGTGTGATGATGCCGGCATCATGTTCCACGACTGCGCGCTCGGAAAGTAGTGAGACGTCTACGGAGTTCACACCGCTAACACCGTTCAACCCGCTTTCCACTGCAGACGTACATGCCCCACATGTCATACCCTCAACCGCCAAGTTGGTCACCGAAAGTCGCGTAGCCGGAAAAGAAGCAGGGTCGGGGTTCTTTTGTTCCTCGGTGGAAAGTACTGCCGCATCGAACCCGCAGTCCTCGATCATCTCTGCAATTTTCGCGGGCGGTAACACTGACGGATCGTGTTGTACAGCGGCCCTGCCCATGATCAGACTGACGGAAACATCGCTAGCGCCGTCTATCCCTTGAAATGCACCCTCTACTGCTGAGGTGCACGCTCCGCAAGTCATTCCGTCGATTTTGATAGTTGTGGTGGCCAGTGCGGGTCGACTGGTCCCGCCGGAGTGCGGATTCGTGGATAACATCTCGACGGTGAAGCGCGAGGCGAACACGGCGAGGAACGACGGGACTATAGCATATGGATGGTGTCCGATAAACTGCCTCCGACGCGATGGCAGAGGGTGATAGCGTGCTGAGAGGGACGGATAGTCTCGGATGGCGCAAGACTAACAGATCATTCCCTTGTTGAGCGGACAAAGGAAGCTGCAGAAGTTAAAAAGAAATAGTTTGGCCAGAAAGCCACGTCGATCAGATTAAATCAAAAAGTTGGGTCAAAGGCGCAAGGGGAGGGAAAAGCAAAGCGGGTTTGCCCGGTGATTGATGTGGACCGCATCCCACGCTATGGAATGTGTACAAAGTCCGCGATGCGTGGCCAGCTGATAAGATCCCTGTGGTTGGGTTTTCAATTAGATTAATGATTCACTGAAGAATCCTAGTAAATACAAATTTTCATGTGTCTTGGAAAGCCTGAAACAGACTAAGCAATACGAAAACATGTGGTTGTTTCAAGACGTCTGCAGAGATGAACCTAGTTACACTCGGCTTATTGTCGCTTTTTCTACGGAATATACTTGCAGAATGGGGGGCCCTGGATTGTGATTACCACATTTTAATATAATAGACCCGAGATGTAATAATCAATAGTAGAATGACTCAACTAAATAATAACAAAAGTACCAAATCTATGTTGTATGGAGTACGTACCTCCAGGGCTATCGACACAAGAATAGTCCTTGACGACGTAAGACTTTACTAATCTCCACGCCGATCGAGTGTGAAAACACCACTCCATACTCCGTATCTCTTTGATGGAGGTGAAGGTATCACCATGATTTCTGCCTGGCTTTTTTTTTCTTTTCTCAGCCATATGCCGCTCTTTGCGCAGTATAACTGAGCACACCCCCAGCACCCTGTAATCTGCTTTCTGAGTATTACATAAGCCGATTGATACTGGAGCGATTCTTGATCTTATCACGTGGTTTACTGATGCGGGAGCCATACCCAGATAGGAAGTCCCACTCTTTTTGAGCTCCAGACCACATCGTCATGATCTCGTCTCTCTCTCTCTCTCTCTCTTGTTCATTATGTTAAGCAGACAATCACTTCACTAAGAACGACCTTGCCCCACCATCCAAACCTTTTGATTTCTCTCATCCACTAGTAACATGGAGAAAGTCGACAGTTACCAACCAATCAGTCATAACAACAACAACACTATACCTGTTCTCCAAGCCTTCCACACTCACCTTCCACTAGACGGCAGAGCTGATTTTGTCTGCTATATCTAGTCTTCGCAGACAGATCAAGAAATTTACGATTATGCTGAGTCTTTGGTGAATGGCCTACTTGCGCTAATGCGGTCAACCCGGTCGACACCTACTATATCCTTATATGCTGGAATAGAAGACTCGATTGAGAATTCGCAGTCGACTGGGCTCTTAGCGAGAGAAACTTGTCTATGGGCAGATTGCCATAAGTGGTATGGTAAGAGATGTGTTCTCACTGGACTTTTCGAAGTAAAATCTATCGATCGAAATGACACAACTATTGCGGCAACGCATACAGCCACGTCATTCCTTTCTCATTAACAACATGGAGAGATAAATTTTAATCATACGCTATAGATATTATCTGGACCAAAGTTATCTGCTATTTTCTAGCACTTGAAACTAGAATCAACTTTACCCGGGAGAATGCCAGTGGCACTACAAATGCTATCCATATCCCTCGAGCTTTATTCCTCCTTCTGCCTTTTTTATTTTGCGTTTGAAGAGGCTTCGCTACCCTACACATACAGATCAAGGAAACACTTACCGCAAGTACTACATAATCTCCCTTAAACTGCCACCTTTACACACCATAACCCGCACCATACGCTTCCAAGTCCCGAGCTCCTAAAGGTTCATGTAGCTATCGCTCGTATTTTCCATGCATCTGGATTAGCGTGGCGTATCAACAGGGCAGCCCGAGATCTAGGAGCATTTAGTGCCCTAGCGAAAGACGGTACTACTGATATTTCATCTATGTTATGTTGGCAATCAGCTCACTTGGTGTTCTTGCTGCACGCGCTACCCCATCAGAATTCTTAGATTCCAAAGCAAGGGCCCAGAGCGCTAAAGGTTGGTTGACGCAGGTACAGGATACTGATGAGGAATAAATACACCGTGCGACATCGAGCGTACCTTGGGGTTTCTTTGAAGACAAATACAATGACATTGAGACTCATGTACATGGTGTCTCTGTCCAAAGTATCATCTTGGATATTTGGGATAACAACAGTTCTGTTACCAATGCACCTAATCATGGCCATGAACCCTTTTATCCTATTTCTAGTCCCATTTCAAGATATTGTATGTGTCCGTTACTACTTACTGCCTACGTCACTGGTTACACAGCAAAGTCCATTTCACAAATTAAACCTTTATCTGCTTTCTTCTGGCATCTATGTATAAAGTCGAAGAAGCCGTGCAAAATATCTATTTAAAAAGACATCTAAAAAGACGTCAAAAGGCCGCAAACGCGGTGACTATTGTTGTATTGAATCAGATAAGACGTGTTTGCACTCGATGCAAACAGGTATCTCCATCTGGACTACATTTGGTGCTTCCCATCTTAAACTCAGCTATTCCGTACCTTTCATATTGCAGCTAGTATCTCCCTTGGCTACCTTCCAATATTTTCATTGAACCTTCACTTCTATCAACCACGACATCCCAATGGATCAAACCCACACACGAGCCCTAGAGGCTCTCCAACCATTCATCCACCTAGCCCGCTCCAACAGCGCAGGCTCGCCTCGCTTTATTGCCAATCTCATCACAAATGCCACTTCAAGCACGCAAACCTACGTCTTCGCAGAGCTGCTCGAGCTGCCGGCAGTCCAAGCATTACGGTCACCAGACACTCCAGCCGAGTTTAAGGGATATCTGAAGCTACTAGAGATCTTCGCGTGGGGCACATGGCAAGAATATCAAAGTAAGATCGCATATATCTAAAGCCCAGGGACCAAAACAAGCTCCAAATCACCCACATGAACTGTCCCCAGAGAACCAAACCCCCACACCTCCACACCCCCAAGCTACCAGAACCAAAGCTAACCACCAACACCCCGCACCAGCAACTCCAAACCTCCCCGAGCTGAACACTGAACAAACCCTCAAACTCCGCCTCCTCTCACTCCTAACCCTCTCAACAACAATCAAACCCCTCACCTACAGCGCCCTGATGACCGCCCTCAGCACCCCCACAAAAGCCGAGCTCGAATCCCTCGTAACAACAGCCATCTACGCCTCCCTGATAACAGCACGCCTCTCACCAGCCTCCAACCCACCATCCGTGAACGTGACGGCCGTCGCCCCACTCCGCGATGTGCAACCCCAGTCCCTCCCTAAGATGATCGCCAACTTGAGCGAGTGGGAATCCCGCTGCGGCGAGGTCGTCTCCGATCTGGAGGCGGAGATTGCGCGCATCAAGAGCGACGCTGCAAAGCGTGCTGCACGCGCCCAGGCGCACAATGAGGCGCTCGAGCAGGCCGTTAAGAGGAAGCAAAGTGCGGGGAAGAAGGGTGGTCGGCGCGGTGGTCGGCTTGGCGCTGGCATTGGAGGGAGTAAGAGGGATGCAGACGATATTGATGAGGATGACGGATTCTTTGAGACTTATGATGGCGGTGAGAATGGCTCGCGCATGGATATTGATGAGGCGCCTGGCGCTCGTGCGGGAAACAGTCGGCAGCCAAAGAGGGTGTTGGGGCGCAAGTCTTGAAGTGCGAATGTGTCGATGCATTCAGATGACTCTATACTCCCCATTTGCTCATGGTTATGTGGCACAGGAGATCATAGCGGCTCCAGCGGGATTTATGATATGAAATGACTTTATTATGGTTTAGTTTCATCTTTTACGATATCTCATGGATAGGGAACCCGTAGATAGGAGCAAATTGCATTCGTAAGGCCTTGATGGCGGCGCTCATTAATGAGAAAATAGATACAATACAAAGTTTTCAAAGTCAAGGGGGGTATTGGTCGAATAGAAGAAATATCACAGCAAAACAACAGGCACAATAAATATCGACATGACAAAGAAAAGTAGATGTCACCGCTGATAAGCGGGTGGATAGGGCGATGGAGGAAACCAAAATCTCTTCTGTATAGCTCCGATGTTGAAGATGGGCTCCAGATCTGCGGAGTAGTCTTTTTCAAGAATATGGATCATGGAAGCAAACCCTCAGTATTCGGGCACGGTGAAAACGCCTTGTGAACAAGTCAAGTCAAGTCAAGTAAATTGTAGACATGGTAAGAATGATCAGATGACCATACAACGAAGTTCACGGGGCGATTGTTTTTGGAAGTTTGGATTAGATGGAAGCCGGACACGGCGAAAAGCTCACAGCATGGTACCAGGGACGAAAATGAACAGGATACTCAAAGCTGCCGCTGTGAGAAAGGCGATCAATGCGGTGACGACGGCACGCTTGTTCAGCAGCTTTCGAACATAGGGCTCGCGAATTGGAGCCCAGTTCATAAAGGTGTATTCACTGTACCCCAGGAACGCCATGACAGGGTCGATCTTGTAATGATAGGAAATGATGAAGTATGAAGCGACAGCAAACGGCAGAATAATCTAGATTAAAGTTAGCAGGTGGGCTCATCGGTGCTTAGATATAATTCTCAACATACCCAGCAACGAGTTCTCCGAGGCTTGTTCCGCAGAACGACGTAGAAGGCACCCCAGAATCCTCCACCGAAGCTAATCAGAGCAAAGGCGAGTCGCAAGATGATACTCAGGGGAACCATATTTCCAAGGGCCTTTGCTTGCAGGAATCCTGGGAATGCATCGCGCTCCATGGCCTGGAACACATAGTCCTTGGCAGGGTCAAACACTTCGGGGTCGTCTCGGCCATCATCTTCGACCAGGTTGATAATTGTGGTAATCATCGAGTCTGGTAGCATGATCTCTCGCTCGGAACCGGGAAGTAGATATGTGTACAGAATCTTCTCAGCGCTGGCGCGAATGTCATTGCGGGCCACTGTGTGCCCGGGGGAGGTTGAGTCGTTAATCCGGGAATCCGGGGTGTTACGGCCATCATCAATTGAAGAGACTTGGTGTACTGATTCGCCGGAAGATCCCACGCTGTTCTCCCGGGAGGTTGATGTGGTTTGGCCTTCGGAGCGAAGGAATGCGGACAGGCGTTGATCGGCATCTCTATCCTTCTCGTTTTCTTGGAATCCACGTAGACGAGAAGGCCCAGCCTCCGTCATTGGGATATCACCTAGGTTCTCTAGATTGTCTAGAATGGCAGAAGATCGTTTGCTATCGGCTCTTTCCATATCGGGAGTCGCGACGAGTACGGAACGGCGGAGTTCACGCACATAGTGTCGGCACAGTAGCATGTGTTGAGATACATCCAGCCTAGAGATCCCGTTAGCTTCATATACGGGAATCGAATGAGAGATTACACTGACCAAAAGTCTAGGTAGTCTACAGAGCGCTGCTGGTCGCGCATGTAAATGTAGAACGAGAAGAGGTCGACCGGGGCGAGAGTTCGGCGGCTGAGCACTTCAAAGAGGGTCGGCAGACGATTACGCGACTCCGCGTCGGTTAAGTCATGATGAGACATATTGATAATGCGGCTAGAGTCAGCACCAGTGAAATGACCAGTATTGAAATTTCAAAGCAAAGGCGGGGCCCCCGGGGAGCAAAAGGGGGGAGAGATTAAGGTCGCGTCGGCGGGCGAGCGAGCGATCTCAACACACCCCGAGAGATGCGAGGAGTAAGATGTAGGCGATTCGAAGCGAATGATAGACAACTAAGAGCGGTCTGAGAGGAGTTGAAAAGAATTGAACTCCACGTCGCGAGGTACACAATAAATGATGTGTGGATATCGGGGGAGCCCCTGAGGTCACAACACAACTAGGTCGGCTCAGCAACAGCAACAGCGAAAAAAGAAAACACGGAAACTTGAAAAAAGACAAGTCCCACGAGACGAAAGACGTAAGGGTGAAGTTCGTGAGGCTATTCCAGCCATCAGCATTCTTCTTGAAACACCGCAACAACAATAATCCGAGATTAAGATCTGTCAGGGGGGAAATTAACGTTGAGCTTTAGGTTATTGCCTCATATATCATCATGCATATGAAGACTTTTTATAAAGAATTTCTATAAAGACCTTTATATGGTGATATTCACTTGTTCATCTGGACTCCTGCTGCTCTGACCCTGCTCTATGCTCTGTTCAATGAACTATCAACTCCAGCCTAACCGATATTAGCCCCACAATACCAAGCATGGCATCTATAGATGTGATTGGTGTGAAGATCAGCATATCCATCCATGGATTGACCTCGACGTTGATCTACATAGTAGACTTTGTACACTAAATCAACCTTGAAAAAGAAATCCATAAACTGGCATTAATTCATAAGCCAGTGAAAATTGCATGTTGTGGTAATCTATCAACAGGGTATTGCCCATCAAATCCCAATCCAACGCCGTTCCAATAAAAACACCCTCGCTGCAATGAATGTATGTCCCGAGATCAATGATTATCGGCAAGGTGCTAGATGTGAGAGTTAGCATTTGTTTTGTGAGAAAAGCCTTGATTGTAAATACTTACCGACCACTCTGGAATATTCCGGATCTGCTGCCACATGAACTTTTCAAGCTTGTTTGCGCTCTTGGCATAGGGTGTGGTCTCATTATTGTAGCGTCGGCAATTGTCAAAGATCAACATGGCGTCCTTGATGAAATCCTGTGGGGTCGGGTACAAGTCCTTCTCATGCTTCTCTTCCATGGTCGACAAATCCATGGGCTCCATGATTACCTCGTAGTAGTCTGGAACCTCATCGCGGTTCACCGGTTGAGTAAACGGCCAAGCTGCACTATGGTTCTGCATGTCGTTCAACAAGTGCAGCAATTGATTATAGTTGGGCCCATGGCGTGGTTGGCGAGCCATTTCATCCATATCTGGCGACCATCCGGACTCTTTAATTGCGGGAATGCTAAGGGGATCGATCGCGTACACCCCGTTCTTCCATTCCTTCGGAGGGGGATGGATGATATGCGAGCGACTGAAGGCACGGATCTTGGCTTGCACAGACTCCTTCTGCTTAGTGAGCATGCGACCCATCTCCAGATAACGAATCTTGGGGAGCATGGTACACTGCATGAGTGTACCACCCTCGTAATCCTTAATGTAGCCCATCCAGATCGATTTGTCGAGTGTGATCTCCTTGGTGAAGCCTTGTTTCTTAAAGTATCCAATGGCATAGTTATCGGCGTAGGTGAGGAAATGCATAATGGGGGAGGTGGCTTTCACGTAGTCCTAAGGCAAATGAGTTAGACATGTGTATAGGAATCAAATACCTGTAAGCATGCGTACCTTTAGATGAGACATCAAGTGTGCACCATAGCCCTTCACTTGTTGATCCGAGGATATAGCGCAGAAGACAATCTCAGCAAACTTTCGAGAATTGAACGGACGATACGTGATTCCTCTGTACTTTATCAGTATCCTAATCCCACTAGCCTAGGTAATGCTCGGCGTTTGTAACATACCCAACAACCTCCAGTGGATGCTTGACGATAGCCATAGAAAGATGGGATCTATCGTAGACGAGACGTGCAATATAGTCCTTGGGCATCTTTGGAAGTTGCTTCTGGAAAATACACTTCAAGCCTGTGAGGACAATAAAGCTATCATGTGAACCATCGTTGTTGACGACACGAAACTCGATGTCGCCTCGACGTTCCTCGAGAACAGCGGGCTGTGGATCATCAGTATCATCAGCCATTGCTCATGGAGAGACTTGAGAAAGGGTGGCGTGGGATGGGAGGGTACCTTCTCAGGGAATGGAACAATGCGAAGCGGAGGTTTTTTAAGTAGACCATCTTCCTGTGCGGGGTACTTGTCAGAACAAACAGGCGAAGCAATTGAGCAGAACTTCTTACCTCTTTCACGGGGGAATCTGTGCGCGCCTTCTTGATAATCTGCTGCCCAGACTCCGGGGAAGCTGCCTCCTCAGAGGCTTTACGCTTGAAACCTGATACCATAGTGACACGTTAAAAATTGTTTGATAAAATAAAATGCGAATTTATATGGATTCACTTACTCTTCGGCGAATCAACAGCCATGATGTCCTTGTCCTTCAAACTTGACCTTGCGCCGACGATGACATGGGGTATCGGTCGGAACAACTAACCACCGGTCGGGCCAGATCAACACTGTCGATCTATATCACTTTCACATTATCTTTGAACTGCATCAATTTGTCCCTCAATTACATTTACATCAAATTCTATTGTCCTAATGTCTCTGAACGAAGTCTGGGAGGCAGCCTCTGCAACTCCATTCATCCCTCTCATTGCCAAGGACAGTCAGTTCTCCGTCGGCTTCAACTTGCTCCTCCTCGGTAAGCTTCTTGGTCTATCACAGCTTTGGAACTCGCCAGTTTCTGACTAATATTGGTAGCATTGATTACGGGCACTCTCTTCGGCTTGAGTAAGTTCCTCTCAAATCTAGTTATTGAATTGGACTCTGACATTTTACCAAACAGATCGGTCTTTCCTCGCCATCGTGTCCTTGGGCTTCCCGGCCGCACTTGCATCTGGGTTAGTAATACACCTTGTCCCATTTTTCGACGTACAATATACTGATAGGGTATTCTGGATAGCTTTGGAGCTGTGTTTATGATCTGCGCCGCCGGAGTCTACGTCTAACCGGCCACTTTTTTATTGCGCGTCCCCTCAAATGTACCATAAGCGTT